TGCGCATCTGTCGCAACTTTCGCTAGACTCATGGTAGGTCCAGCGGAAGCGTACGTAGGCAGGCGAGAACTCGCGACTCCCTGGGAAGTTGCCACTTGCGCAGTTAGCACCAATCTTGCTCGCTGATGAGAGGCAGGGGCAGTTGTGACGCGAGAACTCGCGGCTCCCTGGGAGGCTACCAATTGCGAAGGCGGCGTCGCCACTTTCGGCGGACTCCTGGGAGACTCCGCGGAGGTGGCAGTCACGCGAGACCCTGCGGTTCCGACCTGCGTAACTGTCTCCTCCTGTCGCTGGTTTTGTTGGGGGGTCCAGCGGAGTGGACTGACCTCGCAACGTGTGTTCTCAGTAATGTAATCGCTTCGCTCATTCCGCCGGCCCTGGAGCGCTATTTGGGGCCTCTTGGGGCCGTCTTGGGGGCCTCTTTGGGGCTTCTTGGGAGCGTCTTGGGGCTTATTGTCGGCGTCTTGGGCCCCCCTGGGGCCTCTTAAGGGGTTCTTGGGGGCCCCTTGGGGCGGGAGGGGGGTAGTCGATTGCAGCCACCCCCTCGGAGGCCACGATCCTCGTGAGGGGTGGCGAAACATAGCCTCCCCCGTGGGGATCGCCCAGGACCCGGCCGGGGATCGGCCGGGGTACTTTTCGTCCGGGGGCCCCCAGGGGCCGCCCCGCGCACGCGAACTAGAAAATTTGTTAAGTAGTTCCAGAGATCTTAGCACGCCTCTGGCCCGTTGGGCCGGCGAATTATCCATAGTCGCCTCGCGTGAAGAAGGGGTTGAGTACGTCTCGGGGTAAGTTGAAGCACCCGGCCATCACTCGGGCCCGCCTGCCCCTCCCTTCCTTGCCCCCCGGATGACCTAAACTCGTCGCTGGCGCGGGTCTGAAGGGGTACCCATCGGTCGTTCAAAGTAGGTATTCTTGGGCTCCCAAATTCAAGCCTGCTTTCAGCGCCTTCCTACTTCAATGATCGAGTGGCCTCCCCTCTTCCCTCCTCATCATGGGGGCGGACAGAACCCAATCTATGGTCAACGCTTCCTACTTCATGTTTCCACCTACCTCTTCCGACCGATGGGTACGCAGCACTGGTGCGCGCGAGCAGACGTGGGGCTGCCCAGAGCGAAAAGGTCAGGTTGTGGGCCGTCACCTCCCCCCCCGCCCCCACCCCACACTGGGTGCCCTGGGTCAGCGCCGAGAAACAAGTGGCACGCGTGCCCTGGCTCTTGCACCAAGGAGCTGCGATGGATAGGGGGCTTTCGCCTCCTCCCTCCAGGAGTTTCCTTCTGTGGCCAGGGGGGGGGGAAAGACGAACGACGAACGAACGAGCGACGACAACGAGCGAAAATACAGAGGTTCGATCTCTAGAACACAGCTGTGCAAGATAATTAGAAACGGTCCAAAGGCACCCCGGGCAGTGGTGCACGCGGGTATTCTTTTGCCTGCCGGTGTGGGCAGATATCCATACCGGCGTGCCCATCCACGATCCCCACACGGTTGATGTGGATATATATATATATATATATGTACATATATCTCGGCCGGGAAGGACAAGTTCGAGTTCTCCCTCCTCGAGAACGATTGGGATCATTTCCTGCCGTTCTTGGAAGACGCCTGCGAGACTTTCCCCGCGCTCGCGGACGCACAGGTGGACCTCCTGAACGGCCCCGAGAGCTTCACCATGGACGGCTCCTACCTCATCGGTGAGGCGCCCGGCTTGCGCAACTATTTTGTCGCGGCCGGCATGAACTCGTCGGGTATCGCGAGCGCAGGTCGTATAACGAACAAACTACAGTCGGGGCCCTGAAGAAGGAACCCTTTTCGTTGTGGAGGGGCTCCGTGTTCCTTAATTGTTTCGCAGCTTGCCTTTGATTTTCCTTAGGTTTTCGATACGAAATCGAAGTTCAACTTATGAAAATAGGGGCCTCGTTCCTTACTTGGAGTTCCTTGGGGTCAACGCCCCCACTGTAGGATCAGTTGTCGCAGGTCCGCGCGGATTTCTTGGATTCTCAGGTCGCTTCGGGGGGGCACCTCTCGGCGGATCTCCGGCGCCGCTCCCGGCGTGCTCCGTGCGCCGGGGAGTGGGGGCCCAGCGCTAGGTCCGGCATGTCCCCCTACAGGTGGATGTTCGGAGAACACTGGAACAAAAACAGTCAAACCATAATAAGGATAGTAACATGGTCGAACAATCGCCCCCTGATTAGTTGTCCACTAGTTTGATGAAGTGCTCCTGATACAGAGGGACGTGCCCGACTTCATTCCGCCCAGCGCCGATCCAAGAAGCCTGCGCCTTCGATGTGCATGCAGCTGCTTGTTCCTCTAATTAGCAGGGGGGGCCGGCTACCACGTCGCCGAGTGGGTCGCGCGGGGCACCCCGGCGAACCACCTGTGGAGCGTGGACGTTCGGCGCGTGCACGGGTTCATGACGAACCAGAGGTACTCAGGAGGGAAAAAAACACACTGACACAAATAATCCTCGATTCCCAGGAAAATATGGGAAAATATGGGAATTGGGGGGGAAGACAAAAACCCAGAAAATATGGGAAAATATGGGTTCTATTTTTATTTGTGTGTATTTATTTGTGTGTCCTAATTTCCCTTTAGGTACCTCGGCGAGCGCGCAGGCGAGAGCCTGGGGGACCACTACCGCATGATCGCCCCCAAGCACGAGAGGTCGTCGGTGGCGCGCGGGGGGGGGTCGAGGAAGCGCAGGCGCGTGGAGGAGGAGGAGGAGGAGGAGGAAGAGGAGGAGGAGGAGGAGGAAGAAGAGGAGGGGGAGGAGGAGGAGGAGGAGGAGGAGGAGGAGGAGGAGGAGGAGGAGGAAGAAGAGGAGGGCGCGCGGAGTCGCAAGGGGCCCCGCTCCTGCGCAGACCAGATCGAGGCGCTCCGTCGCCATAGCGGGCGGCCATGGCCTCACGTTCCCGGGGACGCTCCCCCCCTCCGTGGACCGCGGAGCTGGCGCCCCCGCGCCAGCTCCACGGATCCGTGATCCATGTGGGCGTGCGCCCGAACCCGGGGGTTGCACGAGCGGTGCGGCATGCTTTCGATTGTCCTCAGGACTGTCAGCCCAATGTTTGTGTACACCCGCAGATCATTACATCGCCTGCGTCGTATAGAAGGGCCTCGATGGACAGACACGCGTTGGCGCTAACACACGCCGTGAGGACCATCGACTCTTCGAGCCCAGACCCACGACATCGTGTCTTCGTCACTACGTGGGCCCCCAGAGGTCTCGACCCGTTGCCCGGGGACCTGCTCATCATCCCGAGTCGTTTTTGGCGGTCGCAGGGCCCAGCGAGGGCTCCCAGAGGCCGAACATTTAATCGGGTTTAAAATATGGGAGCGTCGTGTACCCTCGCAGTTTTGTCTTCTGGAGTGCACTGGCGGCGAGTAGCGTCTGGCAATCGATGGTTTAGCGTCAGTTCAGCGGCGATGCGCGTCGATGAGCGTGGATTCAGCGTCGATTGGCGTCGAGGAGCGTCGATCCGCAAGAGCCGACAACAGGGCAGGGGAGGCCCCCTGGAGCTGCCACCGCAGTTGAAGAACCCCCCCTGTCGTGAGCCCTGTAACGCCTCCAGGGGGTTCTTTGTAGGCCTCCGAGATGGGGTCGGAGCAGATGGGGTTCGAAGGATCGCGCCGCATCGCCGATGCATCGGCGATGCGGCTCGATGCGGAGCCCGATTTTACGCTGGCGTCGCCAATGCACCGCCAATGCATCGCCGATGCATCGCGGACGCATCGCCGATGCGTCGGCGATGCTGCGCGATCCGCCGGCCCCATCTGCTCCGACCCCATCCAGGAGGCCTCTACAGTCTCGGGTCGCCCCCCCGCTCGCGCTCCCCCCCCCGTGCGCGCCGCCGAAGAGAGGTCGACGGCTCGCGGCGTGCGGCGCAGCCCGCTGTTCGGGGCACTGGCGGCCCGGGGGGCCCGCTTCGGCCAGAAGGCCCCCGCGCTGGGCGGCCCGCGTCGCCGACCGTGGGGCTCGGGCCCCCATCGAGGCGTGAGCAAAGATCACGACGGAGGGTGCTCGGCAGTCTTGGTCTACCGGGGCCCTCGCGGGGCCCTGGGGCCGCCAAAGGTCGGGGGCGGCCAAGAGGGGGGTGAGGCTCAGGGGAGGGGGGGATAACTCGTGGCGGGGGCCTTGACATCTCCCCAAATTTCATGGCCCCTCTCATTTCAATGCGTTCTCTGGCCCCCCCTGGCCCGCGCACATGCCTCGGGCCATCATTTGCACCCCCCCCTCTTGGACGCCCCCGAAAAGACGACGCGGGATGAAAAGCTTGTCCAGGGGAATGGGTCGGGTCGAGACCTAATTATTGGGGCTGGCATTGCGAACGATCTCGTGACGTCGGGGATCTTGGGATGTCCGCGCTGCTTTCTGGGCCCATGAAGCAGGGGCGCCGACTTGTTGTTTTAGGTCGGGCATGTCCCTCCGAAGGGGGAAAAAAGACACATAGTCAAACACAGTCTGGGGCCGATGTTGTTTCGATTGTCTGTGACTCGCTTGGAATCTGTTATGGCTGTTTCTTAGATTTCGTCCAACATCTGCCTGCAGGAGGACCTGCCCGACTTTTCTTGCTGCTGTCCCGCACCGGGCGTCGTCGCCCCGTGTCGAGACGCGGGGAGCCCTCACGCACCGAGCGAGCCCGAGAACTACGGCGCAGGGGGGCGGGGCCCAGCCAGGGCTCTGGCCGCGATCTCTCGCGATGGCTTCTGTTTTCCGATTCGTCGGGCCTCAGGAGGGTCGTCGGGGGTGGACAGAACCCCCAACAGTGACACGTCGATTAGTGAATTGTCCGTTTTCGGTTCTCGAGAGGGCGCCGTGGCCGTTATTTTCCAGGCTTGCGCCCGCCAGGTTTGGGCCTCAGGTCGTTTTCACTAAACCACGTTTTACTAAAGGGGGGTCTGTCCATCCCCGAGGTCGGCGCTGGATCGGGCGACCCTTCATCGCCTTCGGCAGCGGAGGGGCTCACCAGTCGGGGGTCCCGCTTCGCCCGCGCCCGCTCCTTGCTTCAGAGCCCCCACTTGTGGCCGGCGGCAGGGTTGATTTCGATTCCGCCGGGTTCCGATTTGGGCGCCGTTTTATCAACGGAGGCCGTACAGTTCAGCCCATATGCGCCGATTCGCTTTCTCCCTGTTTGGCTGCCGATTTTTGTCGCTCTGATTCATTTCGATCGCTGATTCGACTCATCGTTTCGATTCTGGGCGCTCCTGCCGTGGTCACAACCAGGAAGGGTAGGGTTCACATGTGGCTGCCGACCCTGACCTTCCAGGAGGGCTTGAAAACGGCACCAGGACCTTTGAGCTCAAGGTCTGGGCCTGCACGCTTGAACGGGCTATTTTTCAGCATTTTTGGGAAGCCAGGGCGGTAAGGGTATTCCCAGGCCCCTTCCCATACCTATCAGGAGGAAAAGAAACACACAGACACAATTAATCCTCGATTCCCCAGAAAATATGGGAAAATATTGGAAGTGGGGGGGAAGACAGAAACCCAGAAAATATGGGAAAATATGGGGAATATTTTTATTAGTGTGTATTTATTTGTGTGTCCTGGGGCCCCTTCAACCTACTCCTACGGCACGCTCCGCGCACTTTTGACGGCGCCAGCTGTGCCGCCAGGGGTGTGGGGACAGGGTGTCCAGCGCCGACCCGAGAAATCCGCGCGGACTTCGATGGCTCGTGCTCGTGCCGCCTTCCGGGCCCCACGAGGCCGGCTGGGAGCGCCCGAACTACTTCTGCCCGTCGGGGCCCTCCGAGGCTGTGGGAGCGAAAAGAGGCACCCATTCCACCACTCTCCTGACCTCTCCCGTGGCGTGCTCCGACCCTTGCCCAGGGCATCTGCGGCGGATCCGGCCCCAGCGACTCGGGTTCCCGTGGGCCGCAAAGGAGGTGAAAACGATGGACTTTGCATCGTTCGGATGTGTGCATTTTTTCTCTCTGCGAGGACCATGACGGAGGATCCTAGATCACCGGGCAAAAAGTACACGCACGAAATCGAAAAGTGCACGGGGAATGGGCGTCCGAGCGATGGCGAGGGGAAGGGCTTCGGCAACGCCATTCGGGGGGGAAGGTGGGAGGGGGAAGGCCTTCTCTGGGAAGGCGGCGGGGCTTCCCAGAAGCCTTCGAGGGTGTTCTTGCTTACCCTCTGGGCCATAACGCGCGTTATGCCCCCTCCCCTCCCCCCCCCTCCCTCCCCTCCCCCCCCTCTCTCATCCTGTAACGAAACGCTCCCCCCCTCAGTGCGTTCCCAGCACTGCCGCAGTGCGTCCGGCACCGCAGCCTGGGGCGGGGGGGGAGCCCAGAGCGCCCGGTATGGCCGCGAGCGAAAGAAATGCGCTCAAGTTTCCCACGTCTTCGGGGAAGGCTCAGAACACTTCTCGGAAGCCCAGAGACCTGCTGAGCCTCCTGAGGAGGCCCGCGCCTTCTTGCTTCCCCCCCCACCCCTACGGGCTCGCCGCCGAGGTCTGCTGTCAGATCTCATCCCCCCCTGGCCAGAGCCTGTTCGGAAGTAACCCCGGAGCCCTCTCGGGGCGCTTCCTTTCGGAGGGCGAGTGATGTCGGGGGTGGACAGACCTCCTACCCTGACACGTCGATTAGTGAATTGTCTGTTTTCGGTTCTCGAGAGGGCGCCGCGGCCGTTATTTTCCAGGCTTGCGCCGGCCAGGTGTGGGCCCGAGGTCGTTTTCACAAAACCACGTTTTACTAAAGGGAGGTCTGTTCATCCCCGATAACTGGGGGACGTTAATTGGATAATTGGGTCGGAAGACTGCGCCGCATCGCCGATGCATCGCTGGTTCGGATCGACGTGGAGCCCGATTTTCTCCATGCCGATGTCGCCGAGACATCGGAGGAGCTGCCATCTCTTCCTCGGAAGGCGGCGGAAGTCGAGCAGTGGCGAAGCGTATTGGCTCGCCCATTGGCCCACCACAGCATGCTCTAAGAATCTTCTGTGGTCTGCGCAAAATGTTATCAGACCATTTCTGGCTGGGTGTATGTTGTTTTGACACATCGGGCTTCTGTTCTGAGAGCATGGTTTTGTTATTCGACCATTCTTGGGAAGAACATGTCGTGGTAGGCTTTTAGAAATGCAGCGACTGTCGGTCCCCGCTGAACATCTCTTCCTCGGCAGAAGGCGGCGGAAGGGCGGCGGAGGTAAAGCAAGGCCGCCTCCGCTGGCGGAAGGGCAGCGGAATGGGTGGATGAAGCAGGAATGTCGACCTCGCAAGAGAGGATAACATTTTTTGGGTTCAGGGTTTCCCGAATCCGCCGCATGTGGCCCGATGAATGAGTGACACAGGGAAGCGGGGGGCCGAAGTTGCCCGCGTAGCCTCTTTTTTAAGCGTCCTCGTCTCCGATGTAGCGTGTCACGATGGCGGCCCGCGTAAGCCACCGCGTGAGGTCGCTTTGCCATCTCGCGTAAGACCAGTTTCTGTTCATCGCTCAGAAGTCTTTCCAGCCCTGTGCCGTTTTATGGCCAGGCCCGCTGGCCCTCCACGTGTATCCAGCGATTGGCCTCCAGATGTTCAGCATGTGAATCCAGCCATGTGTGGGTATGCGTGTGCCAGCTTCCTAGTGGCCATTTGAGTTGTCCTTCGCGACACGAAGGCTGTCGGCCTCGGTAGTCCTGTTAGGATGCAGCTCCTGGGAGGCTTCATGCAGTATCGTCGTTGCCGGCCTCATGGCCACTCACTCTGGCTCGATGGTCCGCCCTCGATACTACGAAGATCTCGTAGGATTCGCCGTGTAAGTGTTTCGCTCGGGTCCGTTTCTGATGGCCCATGGGGCCGCAGTGGGCCCCGGAGCACCGCCGGCATCGGAACAGATCCCGCTGCAGGATCCCTCTGGGACCCGGGGCGGGTCCGTTCACGGGCCCCGGCCTGCGGCCCAGGCTCGATCCCGTCTCGTTTGGGCCGAGCTGCCTGGGCGCAGCTGGCTGTGTGTCGGGGGTGGCTCGAAGTGTCCCTGGCCCAGGAGGATGTCCCCAGCTTGTCGCTCAATCATGGAGCTCCCTGGGCCCCCCTGGGCCTCGCGAGGGGTGCTCATGGAGGCCGTCGGGGCCTCCTTGGAAGTCCTGGGGCACCCTGAGCCAGGAGCGCTTCTAGCAACACCCGGTTATGGCCACCTGGTCGGGCTCAGTAGCTTGTACCCGTTCTCACGAAGGCAGTGTTTCCCAAAGTTGCCCCCGAAATTCTGGGCACGCGTTGTTTCTGTTGTTTTCTGTCGCACATCATGGGAGCCTGGTATACCCTCTTGATTCCGTCTTTAGCGTCGGCTGGCGTCGATTGGCGTCTGGGAGTCGATGAGGTAGCGCCGCTTTAGCGTCCATTTAGCGTCGCCTCGCGTCAATCTAGCGTCGATATCGTAGAGGTAGCGTCGCTTAGCGTCGATTCAGCATCAACTCAGCGCCGATTCGCAAGGGCCAGCAGCCTGCTATGGGAGGCCCCCGTGAGCTGCCACGGGGCAGAGTTGCCCCCGAAGCTCTGGGCACGCGCGGCCTCCGCTGCTGCCCCGCCCCCTGCCCCCGCGAGGCGGGGCCCTTCGTGGGCCCGGGCCTGCAGCCCGGCACCTGGGGCGAGGCGGCGTGGATGGGCCCCGCGGCCGCGGAGCACCGCGCGTGCCGGTCCGAGGCCGCCGTCTTCGACACGTCCTCGTTCGCGAAGCTCCTGGTGGTCGGCGACCCGCCTCAAGCAGGGGCGAAGCGTCCCGGCTCGCCTGCGCGATAGGCCTACCTGAAGGAAGGTTCTACGGAGCTTGTGTGGTCTCCACGGGATGTTCTCAGAACGTGTCTTGCTGAGACCGTCTTGTTCTGCCATCTCGGGCTTGCGTTCTAAGAACATGGTTTATGTTCTTAGAACATTCCTGGGTTCTAAGAACATGTCGTGGGAGGCCTATAGGAATGCCGGGACGGTCGGTCCCTGCTTAACTGGCACGACGACGGCCCAGACCCCCTCGCGTCGTGATGAGAATCCCGAGTTCTGAAATTTCGGGCGTCTGCGTCGAATCTCGGCGAGTTTCCAGCCTCTGAATGCCCTCCAGCAGCTGTGCCTCGCCGATGACGTTCTGGGGGTGCCATAGTCGTCCCGAACAGCCGCCGGAGGCCCGGGTTATGGCCCGAAGGCCAGCCACCTCGCGTCGTGAACTGAATCACGATGGAGGGTGCTTTTTACCATTTTCGGCCTCTTGGGGTCCTCACCGGGCTCCGGGACCGTCAACAAAACGACTCGGGATGACAAGCCGGTCTGGGGCAACGGGTCGAGACCTTTGGGCGTCGACGTTGTTAACAAAAACAGAAGCACGCTCGGTGTTCGGGGACGACAACGTCGACGTCGACGTCGACGACGATCACGACGACGACGACGACGACCACGACGACGGACCTCGCCTTTCGTGTAAACGGGGTACCTCGGATATAGATGGCGGTGCTCTCTTGTATCCGGCGAGGGTTCTACGCGGGTTCGACGTGGATTCGATAGGGATAGTGGCACGATGGGACAGACGAGCCCCGACGATGCAACATAAGCTATGACGACGACGACGACGACGTCGACGACGACGTCTACGACGACGACGACGACGACGACTGGTCGAGGATCAAGCTTTTGGATGTTTTCTTGCCTTTGTCGGGTATAGCCAGGACCCCAGTTGAGGGGACCTGGTTAGTAGTAGAGCCCTGGAGCCCCTAAATTGGCCAGAATCATTCAAACGGGTCTGCCGTAGCTTGTGTTTTTGGGATGACGGCAATTCCGTTTAGTGGAATGGGACGGAGGGGTCGTCCCTGATACAGATCACTAAATTTGGTTCCACTAAACACATTCCTGCCATCGTCCGTTTGTATGGCCTCCAGGAGGCTGCTGGACGCCATGGCTGGATCCGCCCTGGTATTCTGTTCAGGGCAGGAGAATGGATCGCCATGAAGAGCACATAACTGGCGATCGATCAGCACATGTTCGCCACCTCCATGCCAGCTCCCCAGACTCCCCGGCAGAACTATGTTAGCCAGCACAGACCACAAACATTGTGTTCCTAGCAGTGTATTGGTCTACGGTGCGCAGTCTATGTGATGCATTCATTATGTGTGGTGCCATCTATATGGTAGAATTTACGTGGTGTTCATCCTGGTGGGTTGTACATATTTGTGAAACCGATGTTGTACAACATCCGCGGTGCAACCTCTATAGTGCAATCTACGCGGTGCAACCTCTATATTGCAATTCACCCGCAACTTGGTTTGCAAAACCCATGTGGCCGCGATTGCGATGACTGCTTGGCGCTGGCTGGCGCATCGCTGCGGCCGCGCTAGCGCGCGCAGGCTCGCACGGAGAGCGGCCAGGCAGTCTGGCGCGACCGTCGCGGCCTCGGTGGCGCTGACCGCTGGGGACTTCCCAGCGCGTGTCGCTGGCCGCGCTGACGCGCGGGCACTTTAGTGCGAGTTCAGTATGGGCGTGTTTTGAAACCCTCTGGGCAATAACGCGCGTTATGACCCCCCCTCCCCCCCGATGAAGTACCCCCCCCCTCTCCCCCCCGTATTTCGCTTCTGGCACTGCCAGTGTGATTGATGTTCGCAGGTTATTGCAGTGCTTGCAGGCTACCTCTTAGTTCGTTGTCGTGTCCGAAGGCCTGGCAGGGCCTGCAGACGCTCCCATAGGCCTACGGAGATCTCCTGAGGCCTCGGGAGATTCCTGCAGACCTTCAGAGGCGGCCGTCGTCGTCGATCGCCGTTGTCGCCGATTTCGTCCCCGTCCTCGTCGTCGTCGTCTTCGTCGTCGATGTTGTCGTCGTCGTCGGCGTCGCCGTCATCGCTTTGATCTTCGTCATCCGCGTCCTCGTCCCTGTCCTCGTTCTTGTCGTGGTCGCCATCCTCGTTCTCCTCGTTCTCTTCGCGTTCGTCGTCCTTGTCCTTGTCGTCGTGTCGTCGTCGTCGTTGACGTCGTCGTCGTTGACGTCGTCGTCGTCGCCGAGGGCCTCGAAGGGCCTCCAGGCGTTGACGCCTCCACAGGCCTCCAGAGACTTCCATATGCTCCCAGAGACCTTCAGAGGCGGCCGTCGTCGTCGTCCTCGTCATCATCCTCGTCCTCGTCCTCGTTCTCGTCCTCCTCCCCGTCGTCGTCCTCATCGTCGTCGTCGTCGTCGTCGTTGTCGGCGACGTGGTCACATCGCTTTAGTCGTCGACATCGGCGTCCCCGTCCCCGTCCCCGTCCTCGTCCTCGTCCTCGTTCTTGTCGTGGTCGTCGTCTATCTCGTCCTCGTCGCGGTCGTCGTCCTCGTCGTCGTCGACGTCGACGTCGTCGTCGTCGCCGAGGGCCTCGAAGGGTCTCCAAACGCCTCCACAGGCCTCCGGGGACTGGCAAGGGTCCCCTTTATCCTCATCGTCGTCGTCTTCGTTATCGTGGTCTTCCTCGTCGTCGGCGTCGTTCCTTCCGTCGTCCTTCAATCGTTTTCGTTCTCTTTCTCGTCGTCGTGGCCGAGGGCTTCGGAGATCCTCACGCGTCTCCAGAGGTCACCGGAGGCCCTCGGAGGCCTCCGCAGACTTTCGGAGACCTTCCGAGGCGGCCGTCGTCGTCGTGTTCGTCGTCCTCGTCCTTGTCCTCGTCCTCGTCTTCGTCGTCGTCCTCATCGTCATCGTCGCCCTCGTCCTCGACCCTGTCCTCGTCTCGTCTCTGTGTTCGTCGTAATCAGCCTCTTCTTCCTCGTCGTCCTCGTCCTCGTCCTCGCCTTCGTCGCCGATGGCCTCGAAGGGTCTCCACACGCCTCCAGACGTCTTCGAAACCCTTGGGCCTCCGGTGACCTTCAGAGGCGTCGTCGTCGTCGTCGTCCTCGTCATCTTCGTCCTCGTCCTCGTCCTCGTCGTCTTCGTCCTTGTCCTTGTCTTCGTCCTCCTCATCGTCGTCCCCGTTTCCGTCTCCGTTCTCACCTTCGTCATGGTCGTTTGGTGCGCGGGCGCCCTTGTCGTCCAGCGGAACAAAACATGGTGCAGTACGTATGCAGTGCGTAGCACATATACGATATGGTGCACACGGCGGCGGCGGTGCATACTGTGGTGCGCACTGTGGTGCATGCTGTGATTTGCACAGGCGCTATGGCCTCGGAGCCACAAGGCGTGGGGGGGTTGGCGTTAAGTTATGCCCCCTCCCCTGCCTCCCCATAACGCCCGTTATGGCCGCGAATAAGACAATGTGACCCATCATGGCAACGTCGACAGCGGCAACCGCGATGGTGATAGTAGCGATGCTGGCGCGAATTATGACAATGACGACGGCAAGGTCAATGACGGCGCCGATGCTGATCACGCTGATGGCGATGATGATGCCCGCCAGTCGGTGATGAAGGCTTTGAAAAGAGTTCGACATGTGCGCGCGTCCGACGGGTCCGAGGGGCCCGCATGGTATTTCCTGATTGTAATCGTGCCCCCCCCCAAGCACGCGCGCAAGTGCATTCGAATGAGTTCGACCTGTGCGACAGACATGTTGGAAAACGTATTGCAATGAGAATGCACAAAAACGCGTACTTTCTTATGTTCGACAAAGCAGGTGTCAATTCCATGTGTTTTTGTTGTTTGTTTATGTGTGTGTGTGTGTTCACAAACCTCGACGTTCATACCCAGACGAAACTTCTTTCTTTGGTTTAAAAAGATATCTCATGCGCTCGCGGCGTCGCGCGCGTGTGGATTCCGTTCTATTCGTTGCAATGGCAATGGATATGTACACATACTAAACGTTGTTGGTACACGAGAGTGCACGCATATTATAATCTGCCAGAGATGACTGTAGAATACGGCCTGGCTGGTATGACATGGGTTCACATCCAGAGTGGGCGGTGGACGCAGATTCACATGTCATTTGTTTTAACCCAGGATGGACCGAAGATACGGCTGCGCTGTGGCATCCGGGCCGGCGACGGTGCGGCACCGGGGCCCAGACGACGGGCGAGGACGAGGCGGCAACGGGATGGCGACGGCGACCGCCAGACCGCCAGACCGCCACGCAGGCACCCGTTCCCTAGAATTGGGAGTGCGGACCCCAGAAGTGCAAGCACAGCCTGGGGGGAGGAGGAGGAGGAGGAGGAGGAGGAGGAGGGGGATTCGAAGTAAAAGTTTGCTGGCCACTGTCGGTTCCCGGGAGCCCGTTGCGGGGCCCCGGGCAAGTCGACAGGTGTCTCTGGATGCAAAACAACAAATCCTTGGGAAAGGGGCCCGGGACACGCGGGGGCCCGCGCAGCGAGAATGCCTCGACGGCAAGGGTCTGGGTCAGGCCCGCTCTGGCCCAGATTTAAGCTGGGCCTGTCCCTCTACAGGGGGAATATTCAAAGATAGTCAAAAAATAGTCTGGGGACTATTTTATCACCAGTTTTGACCATTTTGGGGGGAATATTATTTCTGAGGATTTTTCAAATTTCTCACCCAACATCATGCAGTGGGGGGACGGGCCCGACTGAAGCCCAGGTCGGAGTGCGTGCCCTTCGGCCCCCCCGCCCGGCAGCGGAGGCCACGCGCGCAGAGGTCGGGCCCGCGGCGGGCCCGGCCTGGCGGGGCGGTCGCGGGCGTCAGCTCTCCCTGCCCAGGCGACGATGCGGCGGCCTGCCTGTCGGCCCTCTGCGCCAACGAGATTCGCGGGAGGGCCGGGTGCTCAGATGGGCGTCGACAAGGGCTGGAATGGACGACCTGGTGGTTGGTGCGATGGGTGCTGCTGGTGTCTGCCTGCGCCATGTGCAGTTGCTCAGCGAGAACTGCAGGGCCCCTAGCCCCAATAACACGATGCAGACGTGGCCTCACTTGGGTCCCCGTCTTCGCATGGGGGATGATGCATCTGGGCGGTTTGCTCTGATACATCTGCAGATGAGACCCCCTATCCCTAATGGGTTTGGACCTTTGAACTTTGGTCCCCTCACCGAAAACATGCTAGGGATATTTTTGTGCCCATCAATTACTCAAACAGGCATGGTGAGCGGCCAATGAGGCAGGCAGTCCCCGCAGGACCGCAGGACCCCCGCCCTGTGGACCACGATTTTGGGCTTACCAGATGGTTGTCAGGCATTTTATGGATTGTTTGATGATTCACGATGTCTCTGCACTGGCTCAACCACCAACACACCTACCACCAACACACCTACCACCGTTTCGGAAATCTGACCAGGTGTTTCCCGATGTTCGGTATCCGTAGAGGCTCGCTTCGGTCATCAGGACAGTCAACCATCAGTACACGATGGAAAGATGACCAGGCTGGATCCCAGGAGGGATCTGGCTCTAACTGTTAGCTTGCGGTTTCTTTCCTCCGAGCGAAACGCGCCTCAGGGGGGGTAGGGCGGCCATCGTCGCCACGGCTGGCGCCTTCTCGGAATCCTGGTCAGAGCGCGCCTCAGGAGAGGTTAAGGAGTTCACGGGTTTACGGCGTACCGGTGTCGGTACCGATTTGTTCGCCCAGGTTCGCGACGTACACTCAGATGCTGAACGAGCGTGGCGGCATCGAGGCGGACGTGACGGTGAGGGAGGTGGCCCCCGGGCAGTGGCTCCTAGTGAGACGTACAATCACAGCGTAAGCACGAACATGCTCTCACGCTCCTCTCACACTGCCCTGTCCTTGACAGACCCAGAGTGAATGTGTCCTCTGCAGGCTCCTGCTGACGGGCACGGACAAGGGCGTCAGAGACAAGGCTCGGGGACCACCGCCACTGCGGCCAATCTGACCTCCCCCCTCCTCGGCCCCCTCCGCCCCCAGACCCCCAGCGTGGTTGTTGCTTCGCAGCGGAGACCCCCAGAGGTCTCGACCCCGTCTCTGGGACAGCGCTTGAGTCCCGCGCAAGTTTTGGGCCGAGCCTGGCTCTGCAGGCCCAAAAAGCGCGTCCCGCCGATGTCTTGGCACCGCTCGGACGTGTGCAACTGTTCTCGGCGAGGGCCGTCCGGGAGCAGCCGGGATCACCTGGCCAGAAAAAGCACGACGTCCGAGCGATGGCGAGGTCATCTTCGGGGAGGGGTCTCCCGAAGGCCTGGATCGAGTCCCTGGCCGGCGGCCGCTCCGTCCGCGTCCTGGACGTCACCTCCATCTGGGCGCCGCCAGAGGTGGCCTCGGCCCTGGGTGGCTCCGGCTTCCCGGCCAACTACCTCCTTATAGGCATTCCAGGTGGCGTCCGTGGTCAGAGGATCGCGCCGCATCACCGATGCAGCGACCCTGCGGCTCGATGCGGAGCCCGATCTTCTCCACGCCGACGGCGCCAACGCATCGCCAGAGTCGCCAGTGCATCGCCGACGCGTCGGCGACGCATCTGTGATGCGGCGCGATCTTCCGACGCCTTCTACTCGTGCCCCATTTGGGAGGCCTCTCAAGGTGGCTCCAGTTCCCCAGCCATCAACTGGAGTCTCTTTGGTGGGAAGCAGCCACAGCGCCTAAGCATGCCTACGGCGTGGTTCCCGCGGCCCCTTTCTGGTTTGGGGACCCCCACTTTGGCGGTGGCCTGGCAGAGCCTTCGTAGCCACAGGACCTGGCAACCATTCTGTCACCACACTTCGGGAACCACGGCTGATGTCGTTCATCGTGACCCGCGCAGCAAGTCGCTTTTTTGCCACTTTTGGGGCCCCGTTCAGGCTCTGCCAGGCCTCGCGAAGGACGCTCTGAACCCATCTGTCGAATGAGGCAGATCGACATGAACAGATGTGTTTCGCCGGACTGCGCAGATTTCTCGGATTCGGCGCTGAACCTCTCTCCATGGGGGCCAGGGGCGCCACCAGGGGGCCCAGGAGCCGATCCAAGAGATCCGCGCGGACCTGTATAAGTTTATTATTTGTGCCGATTCGTCTTCTTCGAGTCTGGGCCTCTCTGCAAAGGCGGGGTCTCCATAAACCATGTGGACTATATGCATTCATCCACAGCCCCAGGTCCCGACCCCTTCCCCACTGCATGTAGTTTCACTAGCCTGGGAGCATATTTTTGATGCTCCCCGGGCCCGAAGATCGGGGGCGGCCAAGAGGGGGGTGATATCTAGGGGGGGGGGGGGATATCATGGCGGGGCCAATGGTATCTCCCCAGATTTCATGGCGCCCTTTCTTGTTTCCATACGTTCCCCCCCACACACTCCCCTGGGCCGCGCACATGCCGCCGGCCATGACTTGCGCCCCCTCTCTTGGACGCCCCCCTCTTGGCTGCCCCCAGGAAGGCGGGCCCCAGGGGCCCATCTCTAGGAAGAAGCGCAAGCTGGGGCTTCCGACCGTCCGAGATTTTTTCGGCGGTTCCAAGATGGGGTCCTGAGGGATGGGGTTCTAAGGATGGGAAGGGATCCAGGAGTACCTTTGCATTGTTTGAGGCACCTCGTTATTTGGATTAAGTCGGGCCTGTCCCTCCTCTACAGGGGGAATATTCAACGATAGTCAACAAAAATAGTATGTGGACCATTTTTGGAGTATGTTTGGGCATCTAATGAGCATTTTGTTGAATACTTTTTATCTGTCGTCCAAAATCCCCCTGCATGGGGACATGCCCGACCCAACATCAGGACCCCCTCCCTCAGGACCCCATCTTTGAACCATCGATCCTTTGTGGCATGGGCCGCCGGCCACCCCTGGGGGCACGCCTGGCCCGTGTACTCCGTGCTGGCCCTGATGGGGCCGCTGTCGCCGCAGGTCCTGGCCCGCGCGGCCGGGCTCTCTGGCGAGGAGGCGCGCGCCGCGCTCGGCGGCTGGAAGCCCAACGAGGCTCGGCACGACCGGGGCTCCGCGGGCGAAGAGCGGTCTGAGACCGACGGTTTCGCTGTCGGGAGCGCCCGTCCCGGGGCGGCTGGAGAGCTTCTACCCATGTGCGGTGGCGCGGCCAAGGTGTACATCTCCCAGCCGCCCGGGGGCAGCGCCCCCTGGGGGACGGAGAAGCTGATGTGGTGCCGTTCCTCGCTCGCTGAGCTGAGATCAGGAGGGGAAAAACACACACACAGACGCAATGAATCGTCGAGCCCCAGGAACACATGGGAAAATATGGGACTTGGGCGGGGAGACAAGAACCCAGAAACTATGGGAAAATATGGGGGATATTTTTATTTGTGTGTATTTGGTTGTGTGTCCCAGGGCCCCTTCATAAGAAGCGGGCGCGTGCGGAAAGGCGGTGCGAAGACCAGCGGCAGTCCCTGCTCCTTCTGCGCACGGCTCGTCGCCGGTGCCGCCGCGGACGCTGCCCCCATTCGAGGCGGGAGGCCGCCTGCCCAGCAGCGGCCGCCGTCGGTTTCGGGCATCGCCTGCTGCTGCTGCTTTGATGAACGCGAAGACTATAGAAAGCCATATCGTCCTATAGATTTCTATAGGATCGTATCAACATATAGCATGGAATAGTGAAAAATAGTGAACAATAGTGAAACATAATGGAAAATAGTAAAAATAATGAACAATAGTGAACAATAGTGAAAAATAGCGAAACATAGTGAAAAATAGTGGAAACTAGTGAAAATAAGAAAACATATTGAAAAAGACAGGAGGAGGAGAAGGAGGAGGAGGAGGAGGAGGAGCAGGCGGAGGAGGAGGAGGAGGAGCAGGAGGAGGAGGAGGAGGAGGAGGAGGAGGAGGAGGGGCGGGAGGAGGAGGAGGAGCAGGAGGAGCAGGAGGAGGAGGAGGAGGAGGAAACAATCAGAGAAACAAATCAGAGAGGACAAAAACAACGGAGAAAACAAAGGAGAGAAACAACCAACAAAACATGAGGAAAAAAATGGGAGAGAGAAAACAATTAGGAAATAAACATGTGAGAAAAATTGATAACAACAAATTGAGAAACAACACACCTAACTTATGTTTTTTTGTTCCAAAAAAAAACATATTTTTTGAAGATAGCAAAAAGGGGGCGACCCCAGGCAAACGCCAGAGGAACCCAGGACAACCCCAGACAACCCCAGAGAACACCAGACAACAAAAAACAACAACACACAACACAAACTCAACACAATACAACAAACGACAACAACACACAACACAAAAACAGCAACAAACAACAAAATACAACATGCTGTGCTTTGTTGTTTGTTGTTGTTTTGGTGTTGTTTTTGTGCGGGCGCGCCCAGACAACACAAGACAACAAAAAACAACAAACAGCAACATACAACAACACAACAACACCACAACACAACACCAGACAACACCCAGACAACATCCAGATAACACCCAATGGGGTAGATGCGGAGGAAGCATGCGGAGAGACACGGGAGGGCGCGGGAGGGACACGGGAGGAGTGGGGGCACGGGAGGGGCGGGAGGGACACGGGAAAGACACGGGAGGGACACGGGAGGGGCACGGGAGGGACACGGGAGGAGTGACATAAGGGACACGGCAGGGACGCGGGAGGGACACGGGAGGGACACGGAAGGGACACGGGAGGGACATGAGAGGAGTGGCATAAGGGACACGGCACGGACACGGCACGGACACGGGAGGGACACGGGAGGGACACGGAAGAGACACGGGAGGGACACGGGAGGGACACGGGAAGAACACGGGAGGGACACGGGAGGGACACGGGAGGGACACGGGAGGGACACGGGAGAGACACGGAAAATAGCGAAAAATATGGAAAAGTAATTGAAAATAGTGAAAAATAGTGAATATAGGGAAAAAGAATGAAAACTAGTGAAACATGGTGAAAAATTGAAAAATAGTGAAGACACAGTGAAAATAAACAGTTTTGGGCTTCGCAACTTTCGCTGATGATAGGAGCCTATATCCCCTATAGGAAAAATTAGTGGACCTAATCGTCACTAATACTAATGGCAACCCTACAGAATCCGAACCCATCCTAAATAGCATCCCAACCTATCAACATCCTCATATAGGATTCTAACATAGCATTACTATAACCATTTATAAATACTTACTTCTTCGCGTTCATCAAAGTGCTGGGCATCGTGCTTGCCTCTCTCCGTGCCCGCCTCGGGCGCCCAAAGATCACCGAGCGCGCTCCACGACTCGCAGAGTGCCTACTCACAACCGCCCGAAAATCACATGTCTGCTCCGATGCACTCCCTCAGAGATCCCACCCGGCGGATGCAGGCCACCTGCGAGCAGCCACTCTGCGAGTGGCGGACCGCGCTCATCTAATTAGAAGAGGCGCGGGAGCTGGACCTCGGCCTCGCGCGCGGCGTGGCGGTCCGAACCAGCTACGTCGGCGAGCGCCAGGCCTCGGCGGTGGGGGGGAGGGCTCGCCGACGGCTCGGCGAGAGCGCTCTCCCGGCGCACCGGGCGCCCCGGCCACAGCCCCGTCGCTGGCGCGCCCGGCATCGGCGCCGCGCTCGTCGGGCATGTCCCCCTACAGGATGGACATTTAAGAATAGTTAAAACATATGTAAAAATAGTCTGGGGGCGATTTTTTTGTCATTCCTGGTCAGATTTGCAAATGTTCTGGCTATGTTTAAATTTTCGCCCGAAGTCCGCCTGTAGTAGGAGGACATGCCCGACCCAACTCTCGGGCCCAAAAAGCCGCGGCGCTTCCTGCGGTCTGTTGCACTTGTCAGGCCTCTGGGGGCCCCTGTCGGCGATATTAGGGAAACGGAACATAACATAAAAATTCGGAGGTCCGTGCGGATTTCTCGGATCGGCGCTGGACCCCCCTCCCTGGCGCGCGGGGCGCGCCAGGGGTGGCGCCGGAGGCGCCGGTTCCGCGCGGACCTCCGAGTGTTTATGTTGATGTCGTTGTTAGTTCCCCTAGATATGCCCCCGATGGCGAAGGCTCACGAGCATGGGCGGGGTGGGCTATCCGGCCCCTGTCGGCGACCACTGGGCGACTGGGGCCGTCAGGCCAACCCGAGTCCCCCGAACCCGAGCAAAGCGTCTCCCCGATAATCCTCCTCGTCCTCCTCCTCCTCCTCCTCGGCCTTCTCCTCCTCCTTCTCGTCCTCCTCCTCCTCCTCCTCCTCCTCCTCCTCCTCCTCCTCCTCCTCCTCCTCCTCCCCCTCCTCCTCCTCCTCGTCCGCCTCTTCGGAAACCTGTGCGGTGGCCGCCGCGGGGGAATAGTTAACCGCCAGCCCCGGATAATGAATTACCCCCCCTTTTCAGCACTGAGTTGAGTGGTGAGCATCCCCGGAGATTGCAGTTTTTTGGTAAGGGAAGAGATGCGGCAAGGCCGAACTTGTTTATCGCGGGGGAAAGTTGCGAATCGAAGTTGCTCTCTTCTTATGTTGAGTAGCAAGGATTCCTAAGGCTTCCGATTCATTTCCTCGGAAGTCCTATGGATGTCCTAGGGAATCCGATGGATTTCCGATGGATTCTTGTGGATGTCCGAAGGAACCCGATGGATTTCCTAAGGAATCCTCCTCCTCCTCCTCCTCCTCCTCCTCCTCCTCCTCCTCCTCCTTGCGCTCCCAGCACGAACTTGTTTATCCCCGCTGTTTTTGTATATCAAATTCCCCGCCAATGAGCCGCCATGAATTCCCGACACATGCGTTTTTGAACATGGTTTTTTATTATAAAAATCATGAGTTTAAAAAATGAGCAACCTTAGGTCCCGAATCGAAGTGTTTTTGGGAAACTGGTCCTGGGATTCCTCCTCCTCATCCTCCCCCTCATCCTTCTCTTATGCATTTCCGTTGGAATAGTTCAGATTGCCGAAGAAAGCCTGTGGATGTTCAAAGGAACCCCAAGGACGTTTAGAACTTTCGTGATCATCACCATCGTCATCATCCTCTTCATCATTATGCTGAGATTTCCGGGAAAAACGCTAATTATTCCCCTTGGACCCTGAACTTTATTATTTCCAGGGGGTTATTATCTCAAGCACCGGGTTATGTTCCAATTACTGCTGGGGTCCCAACCCGTCACTGAGCCCGCGGAGGAACGGATTGGCTTCTCGTGATTCCCCAGGGGGTTTACCAAAGACCTTGCGGGGCTACTCGGGGGGGGGGGAGGGGGGGGGGGGGCTGGGGACTGACCCCTGGGCGGACGCTGTTGCCGACCCCTGGGGCCGCAGGGTCGGATCCGGGCCCCCGGGAGTCGCGAGTGTTTGCCACCGCGTCGGCCCCGGGCGCCCCAAGCGCTGCGCGAGCACCCCGAGCGACGCGGAAGAGTGGGGCGGAAGTGTCCGCCTCGGGAGCGGGGGCGGGAAAATTCAGCGGCCTCGGAGAGGAGGTCGGGTGGGCTTTTTTGCCGCGCGGGCGTGGCAGAAGCAGCGACGGCAGAGTGGGGCGGACATCGGCAGCAAAGGAGCTCGAAGAGTAGGGCGGAAACCTCTGCCCCACTCACGGGATCGTTCATATTGCGGCGGATCCGGGTTGGGGGGGAGGTCTGGGCCCTTCGTTGGGGACCGATTAGTCATCGTGAGTTGTCTTCTGATCGAAGTTGCTTCGTCGTGATGTTCGTTCACGTTCCCCCTCCGCGGCCGCCCTGTGCCTTTCCACTCGAGATTTTATGCGAGATTTCTGAGGCGCAAGATTTTGCTTTGAGATCATCTTGAGCTTTGTGGGGCGTCCAAGGTTTGTTAGGGCACTCCCCCGAGCTATCTCCAGCAGTCGGGGGAACGTCAGACTCGAGTACGTCGGGACTCGGGTTAGCCGACGTTTTTTGACGAGCGCGCCCCGGATGTTGACGGTCCTGTTTCGTGGGATGCTTGCAGCGGGAGCTCGCGTCAAAGGGCCTCGTTTTTTTATGATGGCCCCGTCAGGCCAACCCGAGTCTCAAGACCCATCAAACCACCCCAACCCAACCCGAAGGCCTCAATTTGCCCTCCATTTACAGTGTGGGGGGGGGGTCGGGGAACATTAAAAAAACACATATGGCACCCATACCACCAACAGCCCGAAATTCGGGCGGGTCTTCGGGTTGGGTTGGGGTGGTCTGGTAGGTAGTCAGAGTCCAACGAGCCCGAGCCCTGCGTCTCCCCGAAGCAGGTCGAGCTCGTCTCGTCGTGATGCTCGTTCACGTCCCCCTCCGCGGCCGCCCTCTGCCTCTCTTCCTGCCCAGCGTGCCCTTGCCGCTGCGCGGCCCCGCCGGCTGTGTTTGACCGCGCCAGCGCTCGCTCTCGCCGCTGACCCAAGCGGTAGTCTTCGTGAGTCGGACATGTCCCTCTACAGGAGGATTATTCAAGAATGGTAGCAAAATAATATGGGGACGACTCTTCATTGTTCTTTTACCTCTTTGTGCACGTTTTGTCTTTTTTTTTCGTCCAGAATCCGCCTGTAGGAGGGCATGCCCGACCTGATAGTATTCCTCACGCTTCGCGCATCCCCACCGGCCCATTCCCAAACCGTGCCTATGAGATTTGACGGGGGAAAGGGGCGACGAGACACATGTAGGGATCGTTTCTCTTATTCATTGTTTTGCCGATCGGCGCGGGCCCTCGCACCCCCTCCCCCCACAGGACGCACTGTTGCAAGCAGTCGCATTGAGCAGAGGTCCAGAGCCAGACCCCCCCCCTCCCCCCCCTTCCGCCCAATGTCGAAACGCCGAATAAGAAAATGTTCACCTTCGCGTACCTCCACTAGCCCATTCACAAATCTTGCCTATGAGAGTTGACGGGCGAAAGAGACGAAGAGACACATGTAGTGAAACAGAGCGGGCAACCAGGGTGAGCGGCGATATCTCTGAGAGCAGTGGGGGTGGTATTGGAGGGCCTCTTTGGACCATCCCTGGGGCCCTCGTGGGGGCGAGAGAAGGAGGAGGAGGAGGAGGAGGAGGAGGAGGAGGAGAAGGAGGAGGAGGAGGTCGGCGACAACGACGACCACGACCACGACCACGACGAGGAAGAGGAGGAAAAGGAAACGGAAAACGATGAGGGCAAGGACGATGACGAGGAGGACAACGAGGACGAGGACAAAGCCTTCAAAATCGCTTCTTGGACCCGCCCTCTGGGGACTTCTTTGGGGGATCTTGGAGTCCTCTTGGGGCTTTTCTGGGGTGTCTTGGGGTCCTCTCGGATCCCTCGCCTCTGAAGGGTCGCTTGGGAGCCCAGGAGGGCCTCTTGGGGCCATCTTGGAGGCCATCAATCCAAAGGGGGTCGTAACGTTAGCTCCCACCCCCCTGGGGCCATCAAACTCGCCTATTGGGGCCCTCTTGGGGCGCTCTTGGGCCGTCTAGTGGGCGTCTTAGGCCCCTCTTGAGATCTCTTGGGCCATCCTGGGGCCATCTTGAGACCCCAAAGCCGCATCGGAAGCGAAAAGGCAAGAAGTCGCACAGCACCAATCTCTGTTAGTTGTTAGGATTTGGGCATCTTGCGGCGGTCCTGTGGGGGCTTGCGGCGGTCCTGCGGGGGCATCGGAGGCCCTCTTGGATCAAAATTGGGCCATCTTGGACACCCTGACTCCTTCCGTTCCCCCACGTCCAGACCCAGGGAGGGGGGGAGGTAGACCTCCCCGACGGGAAGAGGACTCTTGGGAGAGGGAAGAAAGATATCGTCAGACCACCTACGCCCAAAGGGCTGGTGGGATTCATGGCGCGAGCATGTCTGCTAGGATGCAACTCGGAGGTCCAATTCTGAATCCGCGCTAATCTAGCCCTGGTCGATGGCTGGCTCAATCTAGCTTACATCCCGCTTACTCTGGCCAAATCATGATCCGTCCAGCTTAATATCGTTTATCAGGCGATCGCAAACATGGATAAAGGCGGCGTGGATTAGCGACGGGTCCCGTTTCCATGGGAAATCGCGGATTTCCGCCGCCGAACGAGGCGGCACCGGCCGCATTTTGGGGAGGGCACTTCCTCCAATCCATGGATTTGGCGCGCAACAACTCCATGGATCGCTAGTCCATGTCTGTGCGCCCCCGAGTTTCATCCGCGTGAGTCCCTGGTCCAATCCGGCCCTCCATCCGGCCCTCAATCCGTCTCACGAAGACCGCCAAGGAGTTGCCTCCGAATGTCTGCGCCTGCGGCGCTCTTTCGGGCGGTGCCCCCGCGCCAGGGGTGGGAGCTGCACGTCGAGGCCGACGTCGCGGACCACGTGTACCAGGCTCGGGGCCAAGAATGTGTCCGTTGGGCCATGTCATGTGTTTGTCCACCTCTCAGTGTGCATGTCTATCTAGACAGCTATCTATCGATACATATATATATATATATGTATACCGTTCTATCAACATACACCTATATATACGTAGATACATGTACCCATCCACACATATGTGTGTTTCGACACGTGCCGCCCAGGGCACCGGCCGGACAATGGCACACCTTACGATGTCTGAGACAGTTTCTGCGAGGCTTCGTGGAGCCGGGCCCGGCTGCCTTCGCGTGCACACACACACACACACACACACACGCACGCACGCACGCACGCACGCACGCACAAACAAACACACACACACACACACCACAAACACACACACACACACACGCACGCACGCACGCACGCACGCACGCACGCACGCACGCACACACCACACACACACACACACACACACACACACACGCACGCACGCACGCACGCACGCACGCACGCACAAACACACACACACACACACACACACACACACACCACAAACACACACACACACGCACGCACGCACGCACGCACACACACACACACACACGCACGCACACACACACACACACACACGCACACACACACACACACGCACACACACACACACACACACACACACACGCACGCACACGCACACGATGTGCGCGGTCCCCGCAGGCCCTGCACGAGGCCGCGGCGGCGCCGCCCGCGCTGCCGCTGCGCGACGCGGGCTACCACGCCATCGACTCCCTGCGCATCGAGGCTGGGCGCCTGGCCTGGCGCCACGGGCTCGGATCCAGAGGGGCCGGGAGCAGATCCAGGAGGGGAGAAAGCACACAGACACAATGACTCGTCGATCCCCCAGAACAGATGGGAAAGATGTGGGAGGTGGTGGGGAAGACACAAACCCCGCAGATATGGGAACATCTGGAGACTCCCGTTATTTGTGTCTATGTAGTTGTGTGTCCCAGGGCCCCTTCACAAGAGTGCAATCGAAACCGCTAGTAAGGACGGCGATCGTGTTCTCATCCCTTGCTTTGTCGATCGGCGCTGGCCTTCGCCCCCCCCCCCCTGCAGCCTGCCTGACGACTCGTTTCTGGGGTGCTGCTTTCACACGCGTCGGTCTAGTGTCACACGCGGTTTTTTCGCCCCCAATCCCCGAGCTTCCCCCGGAAAATCAGGCCGCCCAGAAAAATGGGAAACTCGGAGACGCACCTTCGGGAGGCCAGCCGAGCGCACCCCCGTCGAGGATGGACGCCCCCCCCCCGTCGTGCATCCCCGAGTTCGGCCCAGATGTTCCGTCGGTTCGGCAACCCGGCGCAGTCGAGCATTGGGGTCGACTCCCCCCCTGTTATACAGACAACCCACATTTCACCACCCCCCAAACCACCCCAACCCAACCCGAAGGCTCAGATTTACCCTCGATTTCTAGTGGGGGGGGGTCCAGGAACATCGAAAAAACACATGGAGCCCATACCCCCCCAACCCGAAATTCGGGTCTTCGGGTTGGGTTGGGGTGGTCTGGTAGGTAGTCAACATTGTAAGGACAGGCAACCTTCCCAAGGGTACCCTTGTATGCTTGCCTCCTCGGCCCGTCATTGGCCACTTTCGTTGACCGCGTCCCGCTCGAGAAGCTCCGGAGCGGGCGTCCAAGGCCCCTGCATCCTCGTCGCGCATCCTTACGCTGGGGGCCGACAGTATTTCGTCGGACACCCTGCGAAGTATCCCCTGCGTATAGCGCCTGGTCAAGAGAAGCAGTTCTCACATTCTCGTAGCAGCCGAGGCCACGAGCTGACGCCCGACGAGACGCCCCTGGAGGCAGGATTGGGCTTTGCCGTGCGGCTCGGGAAGGAGCCCAGAGGGGGAGGATGAGAGCGAGGATGAGGAGGGGAGGAGCAGGAGGAGCAGGAGGAGGAGGACGAGGACAAGGACGAGGGGGACGACGAGGGGAGGAGGAGGAGAAGGAGGAGGAGGAGGAAGAGGAGGAGGAGGACGACGAAGGGAGGAGGAGGAGGAGGAGGAGGAGGAGGAGGAGGAGGGAGGAGGAGGAGGAGGAGGAGGAGAGGACGAAGAGGAGGAGGAGAAAAAGGAGGACGCGGAGACGGAGGAACAGGAACAGCAGGAGGAGGAGAAGGAGGAGGAGGCGGAGGCGGAGGAGTTGGGAGAGGAGGACGAGCGGAGGGCCTTTGTGTGCACCACCGCGCCCAGCCAGTGCCGTCCCGTGCCCCAGGAGTGTTACGTATATGCCCGCATGTGCCCTCGGCCGGGCAGGAGGGTGTAGGTGTGTACCCAGATCTTCACACGCCGGTCGTTGAAAGTATACGTTTTTGGATCCCCAGATTCTGATCTCTTTTAGCCGCCTTCCTGCTTCAAGCGTCGAGCGGTGTTCCCTCTTCCCTCCTCTTCCGGGGGCGGGCGGAGACCCAATACATTTCCAACGTCTCCCTACTTCATGTTTCTACTACTTCTTCCGACCGACGGGTAGGTGTCGATCTAATCCGTAACAAGTAATTAAATCGTTAGTCAATCACGGACGTTTCCGCTCGTCTTGGATTGAATGTCTATCGTTGAGCGCTCCATAGCGCCCAACAGCGCCGCACAGCGCCGAAGAGCGCCAACGCACGCCGAATAGCGTTCAAATTGCGCACGTTGGCGCCCAACGTAGCGCCATGCGAGGGAGATGCATTAGGTCCGCTTTGCGCGCGATTGGGCGCGCGATTGGGCGCGCGATTGGGCTCCATGGGGACTACATTTCAAAAAAGCTTGTGAATTGCCGTCAAAAGATCTCCGACGGTATGTTTTTTTCAAACCCTGCATTTTTGCTCGATTTCGACATTGGGGCCGGGCATCTGATCCGGGGGCCGTCAGAATCTGGTGCGGAAAGTTGCCCCCGGGGAAGGGCTCAGGAATTGCTCGCTGCGCGCATCGAAAACAGTCGCGCCGTCGGATGTCTGGGCACACGTCACGCCAGGGCCAAGGACGGCCCTGGCCTGGCTCGGCGGTGGCGTGCACAGGCCCTGCGCGCAGAAGAAAGCGATTCAAGCGCAAATTGTTCGAGCCCCTCGCGGATCTCTTGGATCGGCGCTGGGCCTCCTGGCGGCGCCTCCAGCACCGCCCCAGTTTCTGGCTCCCTTGAGGAGGGCGGCTTCCTCGGGGAGCAGGCGCTCGCATCTCAGAAGGCCAGTATCCTTTAATCGATACCTATCCCCGTCCCCATCCCGTCGAAAGTTTGCCAGCTTCAGAGAGGGGGAAGCGATACCGATGCCGCTAGCCGCTAGCCGCTAGCCTCGCCTCGTTTTCGGGCTTTTGGGGTTTCCTGGGAGGCCCTCGTCGCCACCGCTGGACTCGCCTCGGATTCCGGATCAGAACGCACCCCGAGAGAGGTCCGTGGAGTAGCGGTATCGCTGACCTTTGGTTTCGCCGACCCCTATCCCCTATCCCCATCCCCATCCCGATCCTTCTTTTCTCACCCCCCAGTCGGGGATATGCCCCTCGAAGTCCGAGGGGACCGGCCTGTGTCCCCATCCAGGGGGCAAATCTGCCAGTGGGGCCCAGGCCACGCCGGCGGGGATGGGGATCGGTGCAGAGATGCTCCGAAGGCGCAGGGCGTCCGGCAGCGGTGCTGCCTCTGGGCGGTGGGCGGGGACGCGGCGCCCTTCGTCTGGGGAGGCGAGCCGATCCTCGCGGACGGCGCCTACACGGGGCAGAACGTGACCAGCGGTGCCCGTGTGCCTGCGGCGGCCGAGGGCCTGCGGACCCTGGCGATGGGCTACGTCGCCGCGGACGAGGCTGGCCGCGTGCCGAAGGAGGGGCAAGTCACCGAGCGCGGTCCGCGACTCGCAGAGCGCCTACTCGCAGACTGGCAAAAGCACATGTTTGCATCGATGTAACGTAGCGTAAATCTCCCATGGTGGATCCGGGCCATCTGCGAGTAGTTACTCTGCGAGTAGTGGACGCGTTTGTCTTACAGCGGCATGAACATAGACTGTGGGAGCTCCGTGAGGATTTTTTGGATCGGCGCTGAAGCCCCCAGGCGGCGCCTCCGGCGCCGCCCCTGGCGCGCTCCGCTCGCCAGGGAGGGGGCTCCAGCGCAGGTCCGCGCGGAGTTCCGAGAGTGTGTGTTTCTACAAGGCTTCATTCTTCTTCAGAGCGTGCCCACTTGCGCGGACCCTGGCGCGCTGAACTGCCCAGCGTAAGGCCGCGCGCAAGCGCCCTCTTTCCCCTTGCGGTGTGCCACGCTGGCGGCCCGCGGAAGTCGTGGCGTGAGGTCGCAATGTCGTTGTGCGTAGGACCCGCTATGTTTCCGTTCACGTGAGGGAGACGGGTCCTAAGAGAAACGGGCCCCGAGCTTCCTCGCCGCTGTTGGCCTGTTGGGGCCCTCCTACTCGGAGAAGGAACAACTTGCATAAGGCATGCATTGTTGGAGCTCGGCGCGGCCCAGCGGGGATCCAAGAAGTCCGCGCGCAGGTCCTATATTGTTTGTTCCTCTATCCATGTGCCCAGGGACTTTCAACCAGCGACTCGGGATGAGTAATTAAAACCAGGGAAACAGGGCTGGGATCCAGTATCCGCTTCATTCGGGACATCGGACGATATGTTTTCTTCAATCCGCGGCCCCAGCGGTTTCGCCTGCTTTAGTTTTTCGGCCTGGATCAGTTGTCGTTAGCCCCAAGTCTAAACACGGTCCCCGCATACCGAGGGACGGAACCACGAAAATAAAAAGTCCGGGGCGAGGAGGGCTTGGGCCAAGGCCACGGTCGGAGCGAGGTTGGGTCCAGGGCCAGGGCAGGGGGACTGAAGCTCGGACCAGGGGCCAGAGGTCCGGTTTCGAACCACGAAGAGGCACGGTCTGGGGCGAGGAGGGCTGGGGCGAAGGCCAGGGTCGAGGCGAGTGGGGCCCAGGCCAGGAAACAAGCTGAGTTCAGCCAGGGCCAGAGGGCTGGGGCTCGGACCAGAGGCCAGAGGTCCGGGTTGGGGCGAGGGGGCGAGGGGGGGCGGGCCACAGCCAGGGGGACGGGGGCGAGGGGAAGCGGGCCACAGCCAGGGGGACGACGACAAACTACGAACCACGAAAATAAAAGGGCCGGGGCGAGGGAGGCTGGGGCCAAGGCCAGGGGACGCCAGAGCCAAGGAGGGAGGCTGGGTTCAGGGCCAGGGCAGAAGGACGGGGGCGAGGGGGCCAGGGGAAGCAGGCCAGAGCCAGGGGGACGACGACGAACCACGAAAATAAGGGTCTGGGGCGAAGGGGGGGGCCAGAGCCACGGAGGGAGGCTGGGTTCAGGGCCAGGGCAGGAGGATGGGGGCGAGTGGGCCAGGGGAAGCAGGCCAGAGCCAGGGGGACGACAACGAACCACGAAAACAAGTTGCACGCGTGCCCTTGCTCATGCACATGTGAAGAGGAGGCCAGGAGGAGGAGGCGGAGGAGGAGGAGGAGCAGGAGGAGAAGGGGGGGGAGGCGGAGGAGGAGGAGGAGGAGGAGGAGGAGAGGAGGAGGAGGAGGAGGAGGAGGAGGAGGAGGAGGAGGAGGAGGAGGAGGAGGAGGAGGAGGAGGAGGAGGAGGAGGAGGAGGAGGAGGAGGAGGAGGAGGAGGAGGAGGAGGAGGAGGAGGGGGAGGGAGGAGGGGGAGGAGGAGGAGGAGGAGGAGAGGAGGAGGAGGAGGAGGAGGAGGAGGAGGAGGAGGAGGAGGGGAGGAGGAGGAGGAGGGAGGAGGAGGAGGAGGAGGGAGGAGGAGGAGGAGGAGGAGGAGGAGGAGAGAGGAGGAGGGGGAGGAGGAGAGGAGGAGATGAGGAGGAGGAGGAGGAGGGAGGGAGGAGGAGGAGGAGGAGGAGGAGGAGGAGGAGGCGCAGGGGAGGGGTCGAGGAAACAGGAAGAGGAGGGGCAGGTGGGGCCAGGGCTCCCCTGTGCTGAACAAGTGGCTGTCGATTGGGACCTGCTCGACTGAGGGGGGCTGGGGCCAGGGCCAGGTGGGAGACTAAGTCCAGGGCGTGAGGGCCAGGACAGACCAGAGGGTCGACGACGAACGAAAACAAAGGGTCCAGGGCGAGGGGGGCTGGGGCCAGGGCCAGGGGAGGAGGCAGGGCCTAGGGCCAGGACCAGAGGGACGACGACGAAGGAAAATAAACGGTCCAGGGCGAGGGGGACAAGGGCCAGGGCTGGGGGGGTGAGGCTGGGTCCAGTGCCGGGGCCAGCTGGGCGAGGGGGGCTGGGGCCAGGACCAGGGGGGGAGGTTGGGTCCAAGGCCAGGACCAGAGGGACGACGACGAACGAAAATATAGGGTCCAGGGCGAGGGGGACTGGGGCCAGGGCCGGGGGGGAGGCTGGGTCCAGGGCCAGGGCCAGCGGGGCGAGGGGGGCTGGGGCCAGGACCAGGGGGGGAGTTTGGGTCCAGGGCCAGGATCAGAGGGAAGACGACGAACGAAAATAAAGAGGTCCGAGCTCTAGAGCACAACTATGCAAGATAATAAAATACAATTCTTCCCGTGTCTGGTTCTGTTTCATGTCAAGAGGCCGGCATCCTGGACGAGGCCTGGTTGTCGCGGCGCCGGTTCGAGGTCGAGGTGGGCAACCAAAGGTACCCGGCCGTGCCTCGGCTGCTTCCAGCGCGAACTTGCCGGAAATGAGCCGCGCGCATTTGGCCGGTTGGCGCAGGGCCTTTTTCCGCAGTAGACTCCACCCCAGTTTGCTTGCGCGGGGACCTTGAGCCAATTGACCACGCGCATCGGGCGGTGAAAAACAACATCGGCGCGGAGATACCCTTTGTTCGTGCCTTGTCGAGCGTTTAGCTATGGGCTATGGGTGTCTGATGGCGGGCGACTCTGAGCCTGAGGAGGCCAATCGTGAACAGCTAAGATCGAGCGAGTCTGAGCGTGAGTCCGAGCAATACTGGCAGAGTACCAGTGGGCAGTGGATTTTGTGATTAGATTAACTCGATGAAGCAATCAATAATCCCCCCGCCCCCTTTTCCCCCTTCAAAAGACATTTGGAACGCTTCCAGCAATGGGACCTAGGCGGAATCGATATTCCCGCAAAGGCCCGAGCCTTGGGTCTGAGCCTCCATAGCTCGTGGGAGAGTTGCGTCAGGTTTGACGATCTGAGTTGTTCGGACCCGTGATATGACATCATACGCAATACGTCGAAGGTGAGGGTATGATGTTTAGTCCTCTTCGCAATCTTCCCCCCCTTGGCCACGATCTGTGGGCGCCGCAGCGTGCCAGGTGAGATTCGGGAACCTTCCACGCTTAGTTTGTCTGTCTACGCACGCATGCATATAGACAGACGTATACACACGTATCTATCACAACATATGTATATGTGTGTAGTTTCCTTTTGGCTCAGGACATGGTCCGTGCAGAACCATACGGCGTGCCACCAGGCTCAGCGATTGTCCGTTTGGCACCGATTTCTGCTTCATGGCTGGTGTATTGGGCACGACGCCCGCGGGCGGAGCTACGGTGGTCACCTTGTCTTTTCGCGTACGGCTGGCGTACGTATTGGCAGCGCTTTTTTCCATAGCTCTGATGGGGGGTGCAGTGTACGGGTGGCCGTCGATGCGGGAGGTGCTGTTAAGAGATGGAGTGCTGTATGATTCCGAGGACCCATGCCTCCCAAACAGGGTCCCGGTAGATGGGGTCGGAAGATGGCGTCGCATCACCGGTGCATTGGCGATGCGGCTTGATGTGGAGTTTGATCTTCTCCACGCAAGCTGTGCCGATGCACCGGCGATGCGGCGAGATCTTCCGACCTCGCGTAGTCGGATCCCATTTGGGAGGCCTCCAGAGGAATGCGACGGCAACGCCCTCGACGAAGTCTGCGATTCGCAGGAGTTGTCGTTCGGAGTTGTGTTCACCGTCGGGTCCTGGGCGAACCAGGGGGGTCGCTTGCTCGTTGGTATCGCTCTTGACCGTTCGGGAGGCCTCATCCTGTATACCAAATGTGCGATCCTTGTCATGGAGGTCCACGCCAAGAATCACCCTGCTTGCCTCCAGGGTGCCCAGGGTTTCTTGGGTGTCCATGTGTTTGCGATGAAAAAGCGTGACGTTCCCACACCCCAAATCGATGGACGTCCTGGGGTCTCAGGGTTGGGTTTCCCCTCTGGAAGGTTTCCTGTGGACCGGCCTCCACGGTATGCTCCTCCTCCCCCTCCCTCACCCCCGCCTCCCCCTCCCCTGCTGCTCCCACCGGTCCTGCTGATCCCTCTCCTCGTCCTTCTCCTCGCCCCCGTCTCCCGTCTTCTGTCCCCTACCCTCTCTCGCTCCCGCTCACTACTTGTTATTGTTCTCTCTCTCTCTCTCACCTCCTCCCGACTCGTCTCACTCTTGTCTGGTTCCTTCCCTCTTCCTGCTCCATTCTCCTTCTTCACCCTCCCCTCTCCCCGGCAATCCAGTGGCTCGTCTCTTTTGGAAATGTGGGCCCCAGGACTTCCCGACAATTTCCTCATCCTGCTTAGTTACGTTGCACCCTCGGGTGAACTTGCCCGTCCCATATATGGCGGTCTGTTCTTGTATCCGACGGGGGGTCGACGCGGGTTCGACGTGGATTCGACGCGGATTCGATTTGGAATCGGCGCGGATTCGACGTGTTCGACATGGATTCGACGCGGTTGTCGACGCGATGTGACAGACGAGGTCCATCGAGGATGCAACCTAGGAGTGGTGTTGTGACAGCACCCGGGCTCTCATTTTTGATTCGATGCATCGTGCATATATCGGGCCGAACGAAAAGGGGGGATAGGGGATAGGGAAAAGGGGGGATTACGAAATCTACTGCATGCAGCTGGTTTCGGCCCCGCCGCCAGGCCCATTCTTCAATACGTGGGCGCCTCCCGCCGCCGGGAGGCGCCGGGAAAATTAGCTACGTGAGCTGATTCTCAACACCCCCCTTTGCTATCCCCCCCTTTCGCCCAGCCCGAATATTGGTTTTCATCGCCGTTCTCCCAGTTTTTCTCACTCCGTTCCTCCCTTCCGCCCGTGGCGGTCCAGGTCCTGCCTCCTGCTCGCCCACCTCCGCCGCTTCTGCGCCTCCCTCACTCCTCCTCCTCCTCTCCTCCTCCTCCTCCTCCTCTCCTCCTCCCTCCTCTCCGCCTCCTCCTCCCCCCCTCCTCCTCCTCCTCTCCTCCTCCTCCCTCCTCCTCCTCCCTCCTTCTCCTCCTCCTCCTCCTCCTCCTGCTCCTCCTCCTCCTCCCTCCTCCCTCCTCCTCCTCCTCCTCCCTCCTCCTCTCCTCCTCCTCCCCCTCCCCCTCCTCCCCTTCCCCTCCTCCTCCCCCTCCTTCACCTCCCACTCCCGCTCATCCGATCGGTATCAACACAAACTTTCGGAGCTCTGCGCGGAGTTCTCTGAATCTGCGCTGGAAGCCCCCTGGCGGCGCCTTTGGCGCCGCACCTGGCGCGCTCCGCACGCCTGGAAGAGGGGTCCAGCGCGGATCCAAGAAATCCACGCGGACCTACGAGAATTTATGGTGATGCCGCTTTCTTCTTCAATACAAGGCCCATCTCCATTCGACCAGACCGACCCGATGCCGAGCTCGGTTGGCGCACTCTGGGTCGATTCCGACATTCCGAGGATCCGATGTGATCCGATGGTGGCGTGCCGTTGTTGCGTATCTGGGCATGGCGGGTCATATTTGATTCCACCTCCGTGCTGGTGCGGCTCGATTCACTGCACGTCCCGATTTGATTAGATTTCCCGATCCGATCTTGACTGACTTTGTCATGTTTACGGGGGTCTTTGCGAAACTGTGTCCCTTAGTGTTTGCCTCTTTAAAGCTCTCTGGGGCTTGAACCTTCAAACTACTACTCAGGATGAGAAGTTGGTTCCACAAGAAGCCCGAGGCTTCAATGACCAGTCCCCTCAGGACCCGTTTCCCTTCTGCCCCCCCCAGTGCTATAGTGTTGGTACATACGATGGTGGCCTCCCAATGTTTGGGGACGCGGCGCACGACAGCTGGTTGCGCTGCGATTTGCGGACTAGGGGCCGTAGTGTTTGGATTGGCAAGTTCTGAGACCGGTTTGTCAGTTGGCTTGTTATTCATTGGTGTTGGTGGAGCTGGGGTGCAAATATGTTTGCAGTCAACATCGGCGTTGTTTCCTAAGAACCGTTCATTGGTCATGGCAAGCTTGAGTGGGTCTTTTCAGCTAGCCTCAAGCGTATTTCTCATCATGGAGACCATGCATCGATTAGTGCAGGTGTCGAGGCAGGCGCTGTTCCTCGGATACGCAGCCATTTTGTTATTCGTGTCGGGCCTTTCTCTTATCATTTGGCCAGTTCTGCCTTTTGGCGTAACTCGGAGGCTTTCGAACCAATCACCCCATGGGCTCCCTGTAGAGCAAAAGGTCGAAGTATTGGCCCTCAAAGATCGTTGCTTTCGAGATCAAGTGTTCTCGCCAGAGTACATCGTCATGGTCGCCTATTTTACGCTCGCTGTCCTGCAGGCACAATTCATTATACAGACCCTTGGAGTTCAGTTTCAGCTTATGGGTTTGAACTCCGCAGGGCTTGTTCGCATCTTCAACGTGGTGTTTTCCTTTACTTGGACGATCACGCCACTAGTCGGTCACGCCATCGACAAATGCGGAACAGTCAGAGTTCTGATATTCATGAACACGTTGTTGCTGTGTTGCCCTGTATGCCTGCTGACGCAGATGTATCCCGTGCAACTTGCGTTTACATTCGCCTACGGGATAAGTCGTGTTAGCATTTGGGCTGCCTACTTCTCTTATGTAGGAACCATTTTTGGGTTTTCGAACTACGGGAAGTTGGCCGGCGGCGGGCTGTTTTTTGCAGCGTTTGTCTCTCTGCTCCAGATACCACTGCTTCATTTGACCCTCATCTTTTTTGGAGGAGACTTCACCTTCGTCAATTGTCTTTTCGCCGCTATCTGTGTCTCCATGTACCCTTTGATCGGTGCCCTGGAGGTCATGGAGCGGAAGGCACCCCACGCCGCGACTTGCCTGGCTGTCCGCAAACCTCCAGCACCCGAGCCGAGCTCGAGCGGAGACGATGGCACCGACGCGCCGGGAGCTGTGCAAGCGATGCCGGACGCGGGTGCTCGGAGGGGCTTGATGTATACACCACGTCGTTTGGTCGTCCAAGGAGGCAAGGAGTTCGGCAATCACCGAGCGCGTTCCACTACTCGCAAAATGCCTACTCGCAAACGTCCGAAAATACACGTCTGTTTTGATGCAATGTCTTGTAGATCCCCCGCGGGGGATCTAGGCCATTTGCGAGTAGTTACTTTGCGAGCAGTGGATCCCGCTTGTCTAGGCAAAGATATTCAATGGACAGACGCTCCAGCGTTTCACATGTTGGGAAGCTGGGGCGCCTATACACGGAGCTCCTTGGTGGACCAGGCGACCTGGTGCGTACTTCGAGGTCTTCCAAGGCGCGCCTGCGCGGGGTGGCGTCGAGTCTGCAGACAGGAAGAAGCATCGGCACAATCCGAACTCTGTTGAGGTCTGCGTGGTTTTCTGCATCGGCGCCGGAGCTTCCTGCCTGGTGCGCGGAGCGCGCCGGGGGCGGCAATCGAGGTGCCGCCAGAGAGGCCCAGCGCCGATCTCAGAACTCCGCGTAGGCCCCTGGCCGAGGCGTGGATTTAGTAACCCTGCGATCTTCGGGGATCTCGGCAGGCGGTGGATGTGGACATACAGTGGAGGCCCATGCCAAGAAACACCCTGCTTGCCTCCAGGGTGCCCTGGGTTTCGATGGTTTCGCGGTGCAAGGCCTGGCGTTCCGTTCCCACACCAAAAATCGATGGGCGTCCTGTGGTCTCACGTTTGGGTTTCTTGTGGATCTTTCTTTTGTGGACTGGCCTTCTTTGCAAGCCGGCCCTCGGGGGCAAACAGACTCCTATCCACAGCCCGCTGGGGTCCCAGGACGTCCACGTGTCTCTACGGTGGCGAAACCCGAGCCCTACCCTCGGAAGGTGGGGTCCCGGTGCCGCCGCCTGCTACAGCGGACGTCGTCCCCCCCTGCCTCCGTCGCCCGCCGAAGGGCGCCCGGCCTCTGGAGGCCCTTCTTTGGTCTGTTGGGGGGGCCTCCTCTGGGGACGGCTCTGGAGAAGGGTGTCGGGGCTGCGACCAGCCGCCCCCCTCGGGACCGGACGGCGCAGTGATGATGACGTTGCTGATGCTGATGCTGCTGCTGCTGCTGCTGATGATGATGATGAGGAGGAGGAGGAGGAGGATAATGATGGTGAGTGATGATGGTGGTGGTGATGATGAGGTTGATCTGGATGTTGCTGCTGATGATGATGCTGAAGGTAGAGATGATGAGGATGAGGATGAGGATGAGGATGAGGATGAGGATGATGAGAATAAGGATGTTGATGATGACGGTGATGATGATGATGACAACGATACTGATGCCGATGTTGATGATGATAATGATGATGATGATGATGATGATGATGATGATGATGGTGAGGTTGGTGATGCTGATGCTGATGCTGATGGTGATGCTGATGCTGATGCTGATGCTGATGTTTCGGGTGATGATAATGATGATGGTGATGCTGATGGTGATGCTGATGGTGATGGTGATGGTGATGTTGATGGTGATGGTGATGTTGATGGTGATGCTGATGGTAATGGTATTGGTCATGGTGTTTGTGATGATGATGGTGATGTTGATGGTGATGGTGATGGTACGACAACGATGATGATGATGCTGGTGGTGATGATGCTGACGATGCTGATGATGATGTTGATGCTGCTGCTGCTGCTGATGATGATGATGATGATTGTGATGATGATCATGATGATTTTGATACTGATAAGGATAATGATCATGATAATGATAATGATGAGCATCCTGATGGTTAAGATGATGCTGCTGATGATGATGATGATGATGATGATGATGATGATGATGATGATGATGATGATGATGATGATGGTGATGATGTCTTTGGCCGTGAGCGCTAGGCCTGGGCATATGGGGTGTCTGTGGTGTCTCTCTGGGGGCTCTGTCTTCCCCGGATGAGCCCTCGGAGCCTCAACGCGGCATCACGGGCCCACCTGGGGGCAGCGGATGTCGCCACCTGAGCGATGCAACGAAAACAGGGCCGTATTCGCCGACATTGGCGCGTAAGCTGCCCGCGTAAGGTCGCGCGTAAGCGTCTTCGTCTCCAATGTAGCTTGCCGCGCTGGCGGCCCGCGTAATCCGCGGCGTAAGGTCGCTATGCCACCTCGCGTAAGCCTCGCGACTACACGTAAGAGTGCCCTTCGCCAGATTAACCTTTCTTTGGTGTTGAGCGCGATGCGATCGTGGCTGCTTGCGCGCCTGGATTTGGCCACCTAGCGCCCCCGTCGCCCGCGCACCAAAGGTCACGCTTGCCTATAGGGTCACTCTTGCGTGTAGCCGAGGGGGGGAGTGCGAAGGAGAAGGCCTTCTCGAAAGGTTCGGAAGTTCCCCCGGCCTTCGGAGAAGTTTTCTAAGCCCTCCACGGAGACACCAAACACCTCTCTCAGAAGGCGCATGGGCTCCTGTGAAGCCCCGCCGCCTTCTGAGAGGGCCTTCTCCTTCACTCTTCCCCCCCTCGCTCGCCGCCGAGCAGTCTCCGGTGAGTAGCAACGCAAAGGGCCCCCAACCCTTTGAGAGCGGGCCGACGTCAAAAAAGACCCAAAACATCGGGACGGGGTCGCTTCTGCAGGGGTGTCGAACCCCGCCGCCCAGGTCTACGATCCCCCCCCCTGCCCCCTCTTGCAGAGACGGGGGCCTCGCGCAGGGCGCCCTGGCTGTGCCGCTGCTTCCTCCTCCAGCCGCGCGCGGGCCGCCCGTGGATTCGCGGCCGCCGGGCCGCGCCCGCCCGCCGCCGCCGCCGCGCCCTCCGTGGGCGAGCCCGTGCTGTGCAGGCGCCGTGCGCCTCGCCGGCGGGGCGCCGCGCCCGTGCGGCACGGGGCCGCCGTGCGGCGTGCGGTGAGCGCCGCGGTCGTCGCCGCGCGCTGTCTGCGCTCCTCCTCGGCGAGGAGTGAGAAGCTCGTCCTCCTCTCCCTCCCGCTCCTCCTCCTCCGCCTCCTCCGCCTCCGCCTCCTCCTCCTCCTTCTCCCTCCATCTCCGCCTCCTCTTCCTCCCGCTCCTCAATCGCAGTCGTAGACGCAGTCTTCGTCGTCGTCGTCGTCGTGGTGGTCGTCCGTCACCACCCGGGGGCTTTCGGACGCCCTCGGAGGTTCTCGCCGCGGGATGCCTTCGGCGGCTGCACCCTCGTCGAGGGTGCCCGAGGCCCCGGGGCATGGTCTCCGTGCGGCGTGCGGTGAGCGCCGGGTCGCCCCCACGGCCTGGGACTGTCCACACTTCAGGAGGGGAAAAAACACACAGACACAATTAATCGTCGATTCCCCACAATATGGGAAAATATGGGCAGTGGGCGGGAAGACGAAAACCTAGAAAGTAGAAGAAAATATGGGGAAACCTGTTATGTGTGTGTATTTATTTGTGTGTCCCAGGGCCCCTTCAACTGTCACACCTCTGGAGGGGAAGCGCGTGGTACTTTTCGCTCCGGGCTTGCGGACCCTGAGATCTGGGCGCTGCGATGTTTGCCACGGCGCCTGCGTCAGGTTTCGGGCACCGGGACTCTCTCAGCTCCATCTGGCTCGAGCAGTGCCGCAGAAAAGAAAGCGGTCTGGGGGTCCGGTCGCGATTTCGGACGACGTTTCAGGGCTCTCGCGGAACGGGGCACAGGTAAAGGCGGGCGGCGCCAACGGGGGTCAGCCAACCTCCGCTGGCCGACCTGGGTGTGAGGGCCACGAGGGGCCGCTTCCTCCTGCCTGCCCTCCGCTGACTTGGGTTTCGGAGCTGCTGCGCGGTCAGCCAGGCTTCGCGACAGGGCCCTGGCCGATCGGGGTGTGCGCTGACCGGGGGGTAGTGCGTCCCCGATCGGGCATGACCGCCGTGTTGCGTGCGGTGGGCGTTGGGCCGCCATCACGGTCTGGGAATCCGAAGAAGAATTATTTGATCGAACGCCTCTGAGGGGTGGCAGATATCGCCGCCCCACCTTTTGGTGGAGCTGGGACTGTGGGGGCACCTGGAGGTCTCTGTCGTTTCAGAGTCGTACGTCGAGTTGCGATACAAGATCATACAGTATCGCCCAGAGATTGCTGGCGGTGCTGGTGGTGGTGCTGCTGCCGCAGATCGCCGACCGACGCTTCTTAGGATTGCGGGGAGTTTGGGAGGCTTGGTGCTGAACAGGGGGGCTCCTCTTGCTTACGCGACCGCGAAGTTTGTGGGAGGGGTCGAAGACGACGGCCCCAGAGGGTCCAAGAAGACGAAGACGCGGAGAATGGGCCAAGAGGATCCCCCGAGGGCCCCAAGAAGGTCCGAAAGCCAGCGAAAAGCGCACCCAAAGGTGTCGAAACCGGCGGAGGAAACCGAAGAGGGATAACGAGAAGCAGAAAGGAACACTCCCACGTGTTTGGGGGCCTCAGCCAGCCGTTCATGGACCTCCTGGCTGTGCTCCAGACGATCCCAAAGGGCGCGGCAAGGGCGGTCAGGCGGCCTCAGATGGGCCAGCCTTGGGGGTATTCCAATGTGGCATGGGAGCCCTCAAGAGTGTCGCAAGATGCTGCAAGAGAGCTCCAAGAGGCGCAAGAGAAGGCCGAAGCAGCGAACATCGTAAAATAACCCTTGGGCTTAGTAATGTTGTTGGCTTCTTCAGGTTTTCGGCTGAACATGCCTGGAAGAGGGTTTCGGAGGGGTCCGAGACGGCCCCAGAGGGCCCCAAGAAGGGGCCAAATTAACCCACGAGGGCGCCAAGAGGCTCCGAAGATTGCCGGTGATCGCATCGTTGATTCCGTTGGCCCACACAGTGTCATCGTTGAATCGAAGCGCTGGATGTCCGGGCGCCGGATTTCTCTGGGTCTCAGGGAGGGGGTGCGAGGGCGAGGAGATCGAGGCAGAAAGCGACAAGGACAGCAGCGACGATGACGACGGCGACGGCGAGGAGTACTTATGCAAAAACAGAAAATTATACGCTGGGGACGATTTTTCGATATAGTGTGGTTCGACTTGTTCTATGTTTCGTCCAAGATCCGCCTGTAGGGGGACATGTCTGACCTAAGACGAGGACCCAAGCCAGCCCCACCGAGCACCCGCACCCCCAGGAATTCGGCGAGAAAGGCTCTCGGGGAGCCCGCATCGGCCCGAGAGAGCCTCCCGGGGCACGCGCCTTGGCGATCGCAGCCGAGCACGCGAGAGGAGGAAGCTCCAAGCGGAAGCCGGCAAAGCTCGGCGCAGGGGGGCTCTGCCCGGTCCTGGCTCCCTGCGCGGCGAAGCACCACGCAGATGCCAGCCTGGGCACGGCACCTGGGTCGGAGCACTCCCGCGGGCGGCAGCAGCAGGCTGACGGCGGCGACCACGGCGACGAGGGAGCGACGACGAAAACAGAGAGGACGACGGCAACGAGCACACCGACAGAAGACAGGAGAGCAGCGCGCAGGAGCGAGGAAGGAGGAGGAAAAGGAGGCGGAGGAGGAGGAGGCGGCGGAGGAGACGGAGGAGGAGGAGGAGGAGGAGGAGGAGGAGGAGGAGGAGGAGGAGGAGGAGGAGAATGGAGGAGGAGGAGGATGGAGGAGGAGGAGGAGGAGGAGGAGGAGGAGGAGGAGGAGGAGGAGGAGAGGGAGGAGCGGAGGAGGAGGAGGGAGGAGGTAGGGAGGAGGTAGGGAGAGGGGAGGAGGAGGAGGAGGAGGGGAGGAGGAGGGAGGAGGAGGGAGGAGGAGGAGGAGGAGGAGGAGGAGGAGGATGGAGGCGGACACAGCGAGGGAGGAGGAGGAGGAGGAGGAGGAGGAGGAGGAGGAGGAGGAGGAGGAGGAGGAGGAGGAGGAGGAGGGAGGTGGACACACGGGCGAAGGGACGGGGAGGGAACAGCCAAAGTGACGCCAGCATAGACAGAACATGTTTGGCGTCCGCGGGATCTCTTGGATCCGTGCGGGACCCCCTGCCTCGGCGCGCGAGGGAACTCAGGAAGGTCCTTGAGGCTGCCCCGCGTCGCCCCACGTGCCTGAGTGGCAACGACAGGGGGCGGGACTGGCACACGGGGGGGACACGTCGACCTGGCGCTCTAGCGTTGCCCCTACAGTCAACCCGCATGATAAGGATAGACAACCTTCCCAGGGATACCCTCGAATCCTTGTCCCTTCGGCCCATCGTTGGCCACTTTCTCTGGCCGCGCCCCGCTCGAAAAGCATCGAAGTGCCCCTCCTTGGCCCTTGCATCCTCATTGTGCGTCCTTACTACACGGGTTGACTGTATGCCTATCCTTCCCATCGTTGCCCCCTGAGCTCCCTCCCCGGGAACCAGCCGCAGACCACCCCGGTGGAGAGCCCCGCCCCCCCCGCCGTCCATCCTCGTCGACGTGCGGGCGAGGGTCCGAGGTGCCCAGACCTCTGAAGCCCATTTGGGGTCACAGCGCGGGCCCCTCCCCAGAAGCCTTCTCAGGGGGAGCGTCAATGAGGCCAGACTCGGGGACGACGACGACGACGACGACGACGACGACGACGACGACGACGACAACGAGGCCCTCCCCCGGGGCCGGCTTCACGGACGGCCCCGGGGCCCGGTGAGGCCCCAGGATGCACATGATTGCCGAACCCCACATCCGTCGCGCGACACGATTTGGTCTTGCGGGGAGCGTGGGGCGCGTCTGGCGGTAGCGATTGGGATTGTGTTCTGGGGGTCATTGGGGGTCTTTGGGTTCTTTGGGGTCTTAGCCTGCCGCCCTAGCTTGGGTCGCCCCCCTGGGCGATGGCAGACTCGTGCGTTCGTTCGTGGGGGTCTTTGGGGTCTTTGGGGCTTCTTGGGGAGATTTCCGAAGATTCTCCTGAGGGTGTCTTGGAGGTGTGTTGAAGGCGTGAATCTGAGACTCGGAGCTCACTCAATGGGTGTCAGCGCTAAGGGGTGCTGGCCAACCCCCCCCTGGCGGACTCGGACTCGGGCTTGGGGGCCACGCGGGGGGCCGATTCCCAGTTTCCTCCCTCCGCTGACCAAGGTTTAGGAGCTGGGGGCTGAGACTCTCCCCCCCCCCTTTCCCCCTCCCGTTCCTCTCCGCCGCTGCGCCGCCGGGAGGCTGTCGCCATCGATGCCCACGCTCGGGATGGCGCCTGGCCCAGTGCCCACCAGCTCTGCCGATCGCTCGTTGGCATTCCTCCGACGTCTTGAGTATCGATTGCCCAACGTCCAACGGACGAAGCCTCCAACGGAGGTCTTGGTCGTGTTCGGCCTCTGGGGGCCCTCGCCGGACCTCGTGACTGAAAAAGCAAGTCTGGTCGAACACAGGGCCCTGGGGAAAGGGTCTGGTTTCTGGGAACCCGGTACTGGAAGAAGCAAGACACCAGATGGTTGGATACACTCAGCGCGCCGATCTCTCTTGAACGCGGACGGATGGGAAGAGGAGGACGGGGAACAGGACTGTGGGGAAATGAGGGAGAAAAGGGAGGAACAGGAGGAGGAGGAGGACCAGTAAACCCAGGACTCATCACAGATCTTGGAATCCACCCCCCCTCCAGGCTCCCTCTTAAGAGGCCCCAAACCAGGCTTCAATTTCTACGGAGCGAAGTGCCCCGTTGGCGGACAGCCGTGTGAAAATCGAGAAGTGCACCGAAACGCCATTCTCAGGATTTCAATGCCACGAGTCAACCTGATTTTTGTGTCTTGAAGATCCTGAATTGTGCCATGACATCACTCCTGGGACTTCAAATCCGCAAATCAACGTAACTGTCGCGCCCTGGCAATACCGCATCGATCCAAAGCACCATTTCTGGAATGCCAGCCATAAGAACCAGTGAATCTCTTGCAAAGTTCACAAGCGAGTGTGCGTCGCGCTAAAGCGAGAGCTACATGTCGGAAACGAACCGCCCTCAATCCGTGCAGCTCTTGCAATGGTTCAAAACAAACGTGCGCGGCGCTAATGCGAGAACCACACTTTGGAAGCGGCCCGCATTCAATCCGTGAAACGTTTGCAAGACGCCAAGGCGAGAGCAACATTGTGGAAACGACCCTCTCTCGACTCATGAAGTTCTTGCACATCTTTCAAATGAATGTGCGTGGCGCTACGGCGAGAATCGCATTCTTGAAGCGATCCGCTCTCCATTTGTGAAACTGTTGCCGGTTGATCAGCGTGAGGCTCATAGATGGCAAGGAAGTCTCCGGCGTAATGCAGGGTCCGACCTTGCGCATGGCCTCGGGGTGCAACAGGAAGAAGTTATCCATAAGGAAAAGAACTGGATGAGCAGTAGCAACAGGATGAGGAGGATGAAAGACAACACTTGCCAACAAGAACTACCGACGAGGTGGAAATGAGTAGGAGTAACCTTTAGATGCACCCGGGGACAAAGAGAGGCACGGGAGGAGGCGGGAGCAGGATGGATGATGTAACATTGGAGGCGGAGGAAGGCAAGGATCTCAAGAGGCATTGTTGGGCGAGAAGGGGAGATATTGATGGAGGAGGACCCTGGGTGCTGACAGTAGACGTGGCATACTATGCGCATGGGCAGGATCAACACGAGAAGGGCGGGGGACGAGCGGCAGGCCGTACAGCGAGCACGGGGCCCAAGCGGCCGTGCCGAGAGCAGCGCGCGCTCCACAGGGCGGCCGTGCCCCGCGTGGCGATGCATCGGCCGCCTTGGACGGTGCTGTTTGCTGCTTGGCATCGCTCGGGCGTGTGCCTTGGTCCTTGGCGACGGCCATCGAGGAGCGTTCGTAATCATCTAGCGAAAGCATGCCCGCACGGAATCGAGAAGAAGCGCACGGGGAACGGAGGTCCGAGCGATGGCGAGGCTGGGGCGTTCGGGGAGTCGGGAAGAGCCCCGGGGTCCTGGCGTCGCACGAGGCTGCTCTTGTCGAGGTCAGGCGAGCCGCCGGGCCATCGGGCCCGCCCCCGCGCCCCCCTCCCTCCCCTGGATGACCCGACATGTGTCCGTTGCGCAGGGTCGGCCCGGTGCGAGGCCTCTGCAGCTCGAGAGGCGGATGGGGTGGCCGATCGGGGGCCTCGTGCCCTCCATCTCCTGCTGCCTCCTCCCTCCTCCCTCCTCCTCCCTCCTCCTCCTCCTCCTCCTCCTCCTCTCCTCCTCCTCCTCCTCCTCCTCCTCCTCCTCCTCCTCCTCCTCCTCCTCCTCCTCCTCCTCCTCCTCCTCCTCCTCCTCCTCCTCCTCCTCCTCTCCCCTCGGGGGCCCTCAAACGGTGCGGTGGCCACACACCATTCGGTTCTGGGCCCCCCGATGGGGTCGGAGCAGATGGGGTCGGAGGATAGCCGGCTCGATGCGAAACCCGATGTTACCCACGCCGACGTTGCAGATACACAGTCGGCGTCCCCGATGCATCGACGATGCGGCGCGATCCTCCGACCCCGTCTGTTCTGACCCCACCAGGGAGGCCTCCGTAGGCTCGAGGAAATGTTCGAGGTTAGAGGTCTTCCGTGTTTGAGGGGGGCTTTGGCGGTCCTCCAGCCCCGGGGTGCGTTCCAGCAGCTGCGCCTCGCCGAGGGCGCTCTGGCGGTGCCTGGATCGTTCCGAGCGGCCGCAGGAGACTCGACTTACGATTTACGGCCCAGAAGCCAAACGTTCGGAGGAGGGCTGGTGTGTTGAGCCAGCGGGGACTCCCGGTGGCCGCAGGGCTTGGGGCTCGGGTGCCGGTTTCTGGGGACCGCTCGGGCGACGGAGGGCCTTCCAAGATCGCAGGACCGTGCGGTAACAGAAGCCATGCGGTGAGGTCGTTGGGGATCTTGGTGTCACCGCGCGGTCTGTCACGACACCGACTTGGGACCCCGAGGCCCCCCAGTTGGCCGCAGGGTGGATGGTCCGCAGCCATGGGCGATGGGACATGCCTTGCGTGGGCTGTCAGTCTGGCCGTCTGCTGTCTGACTGCGTCAAGCGCTGGCAGAGCTCCCCGGCCCACTGCTTCGTCAGCCCCACGTTGACGAAGGAGGAGCTCGCGGTGTGCATGCGTCGCCTGGACGTCGCGAGCCTCCGACGCACTCCTTTCCCGGGCAGCCCGCAGTTACCTCCTCGCTGCCCGCGGGCACCTCCTAAGTGCGTCTTTTTCAGTGTGCTACCTCGTCGTACTTTTTTTGCTTGGCTGCGCGCGGGTGCCTCCAAGTACCTTTCTTCACGGGCACCGTCTCTGTTGCGAAAGTACTCGGCGCGCCCCAGGGGCGCGAAAAGGCAACACAGCGACAACCATAGACGCCCCTCCGTTGCGTGGGGCACCCTGCGGCGCCGGGTGGAAGGCGGCCCCCAGGCGCGAAGGAGGCGCACTGCGCCGAGCCGGCGGAGGTCAGGCAAGAGGGCAGCAGACGCTCGATGACAAGAAACATCCCGCACGAAACCCAACCCCGAGACCCCAGGGCGTCCATGGATGCCTGCTGTGGGGACGTCACGCGTTCCACGGCAAAAACCATCGACGGCCAAGAAACACAGAGCACCCTGGAGGCAAGCAGGGCTTTTCTTGGTATGGGTTTCCACTGTAGTCCTCAATTATCTGGCTTGTTTCAGGAACCATCAAAGAAAAACGCACTTCAGTTGAGACACGTTTGTGGACATTTCGGAAAACTACCGACCCCGTCCAGGGCTCTGGGGGAACACCCTGCAGCAACGTAAGAATATATTCGACGGCCATCGAATATCCGCACTAAGGAGAGGTTGTCCCGAGGCCCCTCGGAGTCCCAGATAGGGCCTTCAATTTTCACGAACCGCGGTGTCCTCGATCTTCGCACGGCGACGGTAGAGGCGGCCGCGCTGGCGTCGCCAACGCCCGTCGGCTCTGTTCGTCCGAGTCATGACCTGGAGCCTTGAGACGGGTGTCAAGGCAAACGGTGTCACTCAGAGCTCCAACCCTTGTAGGATCCTGCGCAGCCGGGTTTGCACTGACCCGGGCTGGCTCGCAGGACCCTGCGGGATCTTGCAGGATCCTGCGAAGCCCGACCGACATGGGTTTGCATTGACCTGGGCCTCTGCGTCCCCGACGTGAACGCCCAGACCTCTCGGCCCCTTCCCCAGGGGCGGCCCCTCATCCCGACCCGATGTGTGACGAGACGGGCTTGCAGAGGTTTCCACTCTGTTAACACATGGCCGCCGACGCGACCAACAGAAACAGACCGCTTGCACCGACACGGGCGCGCAAGGGTGCGGGATGTTGCAGGAGCCTGCAGGATCCTGCAGGATCCTGCAACGCATGACTACTGACCCGGGTCTGCATTGGATTGGGTCAGTAGATCCCCGGTGTCGCACTTGGCCCTCCGAGTCTCGGGGCGCGTCTTGACCAGCATCTCGGGGGGAGCGAGGCCCTGTCGGCAGGACGCCGCCAGGAGGGCCAGCGGACATGGGCAGCATGCAAAAACCTCCCACCGCGAGCCTCTCGATGATCCTCGGGACTCACGGGAGGAAGAAGTACCCTCTACCTTTTTTCTCCTTTGGGGCCTCCTGGGCTGCCCTCGTCGCCACCGCCGGATTCGCTTCGAAATCCTGGCCAGAACGCGCACCGGGAGAGGTCTGGGGAGCAGCAGTATCGGTACCTTTCGGTTTCCCCAGGGACGTTTGTTCTGTTCTTCTGCTATTCGAGGCCCGCCTGCTTGGTCTTGTCTCTTTTCGCCTTCCTCTTCCCGCGCGCTAATTTAGGCCGTCGCCTCTGTGCTTCGCCCCTTGACGCCGCCCGACCTTCTCGCCGCGGTCGCGATCAAAAGTATCCCCGCCAGCCCACTCACAAGCCCTGCCCACGAGAGCTGACGGGAAGAGGGGCGAAGTGACCCATAATGACGTAGTGAAGCACAGCGGGCAACCAGGGTGAACAGAGAGATCTCTGGGAGAAAAGGGGTGGCTTTGGACATTGGAAGGCCCCTTCAGGCCATCCCTGGGTCCGCGTGGGGGCGAGGGAAGGAGGTGGAGGAAAAGGAGGAGGAGGAGGAGCAAGAGGAGGAGGAATGAGAGGAAAACGACGACGACGACCACGACGACGACGAAAAAGAAGGAAACGGGAAAGGAAGACGATGGGGGCGAGGGCGAGGACGAGGAGGAGAAGTAGGACAGCGAGGACGAGGACAGGGCCCTCGCAATCGCCTGTTGGAACGGTCTTGTGGTTCTTTGGGGGGATGTCGGGAGTCCTTTCTCGTGAGTGCATTCTTCCCCTTCGCATCGCTCGGACGTGTGCGTTCGTTCTCGACGAAGACCTTCGGGGAGCATCCTGGATCACCTGGCAAACAATTTAAAAAGAAGAAGAAAACAAAACAAAAAAAAACGCGACATCCGCACGACGCACAGGCAGAGTGGACGCCCGAGCGCTGGCGAGGCCCGCGCGTGCGAGCCTCGCGGGCCCCCGCCCCGCCCCGCGGCGCGCGGCGGCGGCCCCCCCGCGGCCACGCGCAGAGGGGGGTACAGTCGGCCCTGATTAGTAGGTCGACCCTGCCAAATCGAGGGTGCCTTTGTGTCCTGCGTCTCGCGACTCATGCCTCCCACATTCCTGCGGCAATGTGGCCCTCGGAAGGGTCTTGTGTTCTCTCGCGTGTCCTGCCCAATCAAGTCCGACTCTAGGGGGAGGGTGGCCGGCTTCTTGGAAGCACCCCTGCTTCTTAGAAGGCGCGGGCCTTGTCTGTAGGTTTAACACCGGCGCCTCCGAACAAAAACCCTTTCTAAGAAGCCTTGCCACCCGCCCGCTGCCCCCCAAATGCGCGCCGCCACTCGACCTCGGAGTCGTCGATCCGGAGGCCGAGTCCTCGAGTGAGGCCCCGCTGGCCTGCCGACCTCCGCGCGTGCGAGCCTCGAGGGCCCCGCGGCGCGGCGGCGGCCCTCCCCCCTCCTCCTCCTCCTGCCTCCTGCCTCCTGCCTCCTCCTCCTGCCTCCTGCCTCCTCCTCCTGCCTCCTGCCTCCTGCCTCCTGCCTCCTGCCTCCTGCCTCCTCCTCCTCCTCCTGCCTCCTCCTCCTGCCTCCTCCTCCTGCCTCCTCCTCCTGCCTTTTCCTCCTGCCTCCTCCTGCCTCCCCCCCTGGCGGCCGAGGCCGCCTTCGGCGGCGCCCAGCTCTGGCACGAGCACGCCCGGGCCTCGGCGCGTCGCGCTCCCCCGCTGCGGGCCTCGCCTCCTCTGGCGCAGGGGGGAGAAGCGGGCCCAGGGGGCTCTGGGGGCTCCAGGCTCACGTCGGGCACTGTCCCGCCACCGGAGGGAGGAGTCAAACATAATTTTGCTTGTCAAGCAAACCAACATACATAAAATAATAAAAACAATAATAATAATAATAATGATAATAGTAATAATAATACTAATAATAATAATATCGACAATATTAACACTAAAACATAATAGTAATAAAAGTCTGGGGGCGATGTTTGAATATTTTTTGATTATGTCTGATTGTCTTTGACTGTTTTGCATTTGTCTGCCAGGGTCCGCCTGTGGGAGGGCGTGCCCGACCGAAGCTGAAGCCGGGCGTGCCCCTCTACAGGAGGAAGATTCAAAGATGGTCAAAAAATAACTTGGGGACATTTTTTTCGCCTCGACAACGTTTGCGCAGTTCTGGACTATCTTTCATGCTTCTTCCAAACTCCGCCTGTAGGAGGACATGCTCAACCTAACTCTAGGCCTCCTAGAGGGGTCGGAGTAGATGGGGTCGGAGGATTGCGCCGCATCGCTGGTGCATCGGCCATGCGGCTCGATGCGGAGCCCGATTTGCTTCACGTCGACATGGCCGGTGCGTCGCCGATGTCTTGGTTATGCGGCGCGATCCTCCGACCTCATCTACTCCGACCCCATCTGGGAGGCCTCCAAGGGCGTGCAGGGACCACCCACCTCGATCCTTCCCCTGGTCGGCTGGACTCGGCGTTGCAGCCCTCCGGGGAGGGAGTCGAAGAGCAAACACGGCACAAGCAGTGTCTCTGAGCTTCGCGCGAGTTCTTTGTTTCGGCGCTGCCCCCCCCAGCCCCCTGGCAGCGCCTCTGGCGCCACCCCTGGCGTGCTCCGCGCGCCCGTGTCACGGACGCGCGGAGCACGCCAGCGCGGTTTCTACAGACCCCATGAGGGGAAAAACAAACAGACACAATGAATCGTAGACGCCCCGGAAAAGATCGGAAAGTAGGGGAAGTGGGGGGAAGACGAACACCCAGAAACTATAGGAAAACATTGCAGAATCTTGGGATGCGTGTCTATCTATATTTGTGTGTCCCAGGGCCCCGATAGATGATGTTTGTACCATTGCTCTGTTCTGTTTGTTTCCTTGGGACGGGGCGGAGGAGGTACCCTGGCGGGTCGGAGGCCGAGTCGCGGCCCTTGGCGTCGGCGCCTGGAGGGGCGGGAGGAGATGCATTTTGCTTGTTGGGGGTGGTCCAGGAGGAGGAATTACACAGAGACATAATGAATCGCCGAATCCTAGGAGAACATGGCAAACAAGAACGGAAGGAAAGCGGGGGGGAAGACTAACACCCAGAAAATACAAGAACATATGGGGAATGTTTGGGATTCGTGTCTATTTACATGCGTGTGTGTGTGTGTCTTTTTGGGCCCCTTTAGTGGTTGCGGCCCATGCCGAAGTTTTTTAGTGAGGGGGACCTCTCAATCTGCCAGCAGCAGGTCTCGCAACCTTGCCAGCGCAGCACCCTGTGTGGCGATGCTTCGCGCACCGCCTGGGAGGCCGTAACGTGCGACACCCCTCTCATCAAGGGGGACTACTTGGGCCGCTCTTGTGGGACCCTTCTGAGTTCATCTCGAGGCTCTCTTGGACCGTCTTGGGGCTCCTTTGAGCCATTTTGGCTTGGTTTTGGCCCGTAGTGAGCCCATCTCGGCCGTCTCTGGGGTCTCCTGGGGCTGTCTTGGGAAACTCTCTGGGCCCTCTCGAACCGTCTCGGGGACCCTCCTGGGGCTGGCATGGGCCCCTCTCGGGCTGTCATGATGCCCTCGTTGGGCTGGTTTGGGCCGGAGATGGGGACTTCTTCGAGCCCTCCTCGGGCTCTTCGGGCGTCTTTCTGACTCCTCCGAAACCCTCGTGGGAGCATCTTGAGTCGAGGAAGCGCAGTCAAAATTAAAACTTAATGGTTCCCATGTTTCGTTGAATCATGTTTGGTCTTCCCAGATGGACGATTGGCCTTACTTTAAATGTGTTGCCAGCCTCTTGGGGCCATTTTTGGCGCATCCTGGGGGCTTCTTCGTGATCGCTGGATTCCCCTGAAGGCAGTGTTGTGCCATCTTGGCGACCTTGGTTGTCTCATAGGCCGTCATGGAAGCCGTCGGGATAGCTTGACAGCCCGGGGGGAAGACAGAGCCGCTCTGGGAGCCTCGGGGGAGGCGGGCGAAGGTTTGGACATTGCGGAAGCACGAGCATATAGCAGACAGCATGTGTCGTTCTGCCACGCTTCTGCGTGCCAGGGGGCACGATGGTGGATCGGGGTGGACTTCCTCCCCTTCGCTGGGCAAGATGCAGGAGGACGATGGCTCCCTAGAAAGCATGGAGTACGGCGAGAAGGAGGAGGATGAGGAAGAGGAGGAGGAGGAGGAGGAGGAAGAGGATGATGGGACGAGAGGGAAGGGGCGGAAGGTTGATCCGCCATTCTTCCTCCCGTCTCGGTTGCTCCATCTGTCGTTTCCTGTGCCTTGTCGGCGTGTGAGTTGACGGTAGAGGCCGCCCTGATAAGGTTTGGCGAAGAGGGAGCGTTCCGGAGGTTCACAATTTCGTAACGGCGGCGAGCGAGGGGGGAAGTGAGAATGAGCAGGCCTTCTCAGAAGGCGGCGGGGCTTCTCAAAGCCCTCTGGCCGTCTGAGATGTTTTCAGTGTCTTCGGGGAAGGCTTATACAACTTCTAATAAAGGCCTGGGGACTTCCGAGCATTCTGAGAAGGCCGGCCCACTTCCCCTTTCCCCCCTTGCTCGCCGCCGATCTTGGACAGGAACACATACGGCATTCAGGTGCTGATGCCCATCTGCCATTTTCACCTCCTTGGGCCCCCTGTGGGGGCCCTCGTCACCACGGTTGTCTCTGCCTTGGAGTCCTGGTCAGAATGTTTTCCGGGAGAGGTTAGGGGAGTGGCGGTATCTGTGTTTGCGTGTTTCCATTGTTTTTTTTTCGCGGGCGCGGGAAACGCGTCAGTTAAAGGGACATTGCTCCATATGGAGGTCTACCTTCATTTTGGAAGTTTGCCGAGCTGTTGGTTCCTTCTACATGTCCATTTCTCTCCTCTCATCTGGGCGTCGTGAAATCACGAAGGCTGATCCGCCTGGAGAAAGTGTGCAATAATGAAGTAGGGAGCTCCGGTGACGACTCTTCACGACTTGATTGGTTCGCGTTGCAGGATCTCGGGCTTCGCTTGCCTTCCTCCCTCCCTCCATCCTTCCTCCACCCCACCCCGGAGACGGGACAGCGAAAGAGAAGGGGGTGAGGATTCGAGAAGAGGAGCCTCAGGAGGATGAGTAGCAGGTAGGTGGCTGCACATCTTTCGAAGAAAAATCGCCATAGACAAAGTTTCGGCGCTCCGCGCGGATCCAAGAAATCCGCGTGGAGCGCCGAAGCCTTATGTCTAAGGCGTTATGTTTCTTCTAACCTTGGTAAAGTTCAACGGCCCTGCCATCTGTAGCCTCCTTCGCAGCGTCGCTCGTCGCCGAGCGTCCCCTCGGTGTGAGGTCAGGCCTCGGGAGCCGAGGCCCCCTTGCAGGAGTTGGCAGTGCCGCCGCCCAGTGTTGGGGGGCAGCTCTCACGCTGCCCTCGCCTGGCTGCACGGCACCTTCGAGGCAGGTGTTTGTCCTCCTCCTCTTCCAGGCCTGCTGCTGCTCCTCGGGCGAGTGGGCCATCTTTCTTGCTTTACTGCTGCTGTTGCTCCTGTTTCTCCCTCTCAGGCTCTCACGCCCACGGCGATCTGACTCTCTCTCTCTCGCTCTCTCTTTCTGTTTTTGTTTGTTACTTTTTTGTGTCTCGCTCTCACCCTCTCTCTGTCCCTCTCTCAATGTGTATTATGTATACACTCGTTCCCTATCCCCGGCACACAAACAAATAACCAAAGCACGCCCTGGAAAATCGTAAAGCCTGCGGCGCTGTGACTCGTGTTACGTGTTCGTCCATCGTTTGTCCGCCTCTTGTTTCCGCATGCTCGTTTCACCTCGCATCACTTGATACTTGTTTCCAGGGGAGAAGCAAGACCAGGGCCATGCGAGCAGGGATGTGTGTAGACATCTCGCGCTTGGCCCCCTCCTCCGCCTCTCTCCCGACGTGGGCGACAGGCAGGGAGCAGGAAGAAACAGGGAGCCCCTCCTCCTCCTCCTCCTCCTTCAGCTGACCAGCTCGATTATACCATCCCTATGATCGAGTTCCGATGTCGGCTGGTTCGACATCCCGACGATCTGATGCGGCCCGACATTTGCATGGCGTTGGTGTGCATCTTGGCGCAGCCGATCCGATTCGGTTTCGACTCCGTGCCGATGCAGGCCGATCCGACGCGAGTTTCGAATCGATCCGACTTCCCGAGTCCATACCGATTCGTTCATGTTGCCGTGGCTTGGCACGGGCGCCAGCAGGCATCCCGCGAAGAGAATCTGCCCGGATAGACGGGGTCGAGATCTCCGCAATGGGTAATTGAGGGTTTTTTTCTGAAACCCGCCCGAGGTTACCTCTCGAGGATTTCTTTGAAGCTTTTCAGCATTGCCCGCATCAGCACGAGTTGGAATCGACAGGTCGCTGGCCAACGTGCCCGTTCGAGGAGTATAGTTATGTCAGGGGGTCGGGAGTTCCGTGGGGCCCGCGATGTTGGAAGTCGTGGCCATCTTCCGCTCTCCATGCTATTTCTCCCCATTCGGGCGCCCGAGGTGTACGCGAACCCGGGCGAGGCACCTCGGGAGTGTTGGGGATGTTGAAGTTTTTGATGATGATGGCGATGATGTTGACGAGATAATGAGGGTGGTGACGATGGCGATTCCAAGTGCGACTATGATGGTGGTGTTGATGAGGATGTTGATGCAGATGCTGATGCTGATTGTGATTAAGATGGTGATGCTGTTGGTGGTGATAGTTATGATGATGATGACGATGCTGATGATGATGATGATGCCGATAACGATGATGATGATGATGATGATGATGATGATGATGATGATGATGATGATGATGATGATGATGATGATGGTGATGGTGATGGTGATGATGATGATGGTGATGGTGACGGTAATGGTGATGATGATCATGATGTTGGTGATGTTGTTGGTGGTGATGATGCTGATGCTGATGCTGATGCTGATGCTGATGACGATGTCATTGCGATGCTGACTGTGGTGTCCCTGAGGGCTTGACGACGTCTCTTCGGTCGACTTGCGTGGATCATGCTTGATACACTGAGGTAACTCTGTGCACGCCGATGTAGATTCAAACGACCGAGGGGCATCGAGAGATACCCCGATACATCTGGAACAAATCTTTGAAGCTCCAGCGCCAACCAAGTGACAGCAGGAGACGTGCCCTTGACCATCGCGATCACGACGACCTCTCGCAATTCTGCTCCTGGATATCTCTAAGGGCGCGCTCTGGCTAGGATATCTAAACGGATCCAGCCCTGGCGACGATAATCCTACCGCAGACCCCGGCCAAGGAAAGTCGTCCGAAAGTGTCGATCCTTGATCCACCTCGACCTGCCCGATCCTCGATCCCTCATGACGACCCGCGTTTTCATTACATAGAGACCATCTTTTATACACCCAAGGGATAACACATGTTACCCCCCCTCACTGCCCCCCACCCCGTAACGGTGACGGCCCGGCCGGGTCCAGAGCGCGATCTCTGGCAGACTAGGGCCTGTGGTGCACGCGAGTATTGCTGGTGCCGCGGTGCACGCGAGCGTGAAGTATGGTGTACGCAGGCACTGCTGTGTACACTGGCGTTGTGACGCACATGATTGCTGTTGCAGCAGCAGCTGTGGTGTACACAGGCATAGTAGGTGTACGCAAGCGTTGCGGCGTACACATCACAAGTCCTGTAGTGTATACAGTGTATACAGGCGCCGTGATGTACACAATCGCTGTGGTGCGCAGAGTCGCTATGATGTAAGCGTGCATTGTAGGCTATGATGTACCCACGCATCTCTTCCTACTTCTTCCTCATCTCTCCTCATTTCCGTCCTCCTTGTCGTCTTCCTTGCGCATACAGAACGCGGGCATTGTGATGTACACAAGCACTGTGGTGTACACAGGCTTTGTGGTTCACACATGCTTTTGTGTTTCACATTCGCCGTGGGCTCAAACTATCCGAGCGTTCCCTGGGCCAGATAAACAAATTATCACAATCAGATCACATATTGAATATGATCATTCGGGCCCCCAGCGATTTCCTGGACTTTGGCTCCGTCGGGGCCGTAGAGGTGTACACAAGCTTTGTGGAAAACGCAGGCACTGGTGCACACGGAGAGGTGCTGAAACAGCAGCTGTGGTGTCAATAATCACAGGCATTGCGGTGCAGACGGCTGCTGTGGTGTACGCAGGCATTGCGTTCTATATAGGCGTTCACCATGGCTTCCAAAGCGGTGGTCGGCCGGAATAGACGAGTCGATTGCGAGGCCAAAAATCAAAGTGTTTTGTGGGCCAGATAAAACAAATAATCACAATCAACTCCCATATTGAATTTGATACGTTCGGGTCTCCAGCGATTTTCCGGAGTTTGCCTCCCTCGGTACCTTCACGTGTACATCAGGTCTGTGGTGTACGCAGGTATTGTGGTGCACGGGGGGTGTTGACAGCAGCTGTGGTGCACACAGGTGCCATGGTGTGCACAACCAGCGTGATGTATAAAAGCGCTGTGGTGCACACGGTTGTTATGGTCAGAGTGAGGGGGCCGAACGGTCATTCATTGTCTTTGGGTGCGTGGCCAAAGTGAGAGTCCGTGGTGAGGATTCTGCTTGCTGCGTTGTTGTTGTCTAAAGAATAATTATTGTTGGGACCCCTGGTACACGACCCCCCTCCAAAACCTAGGCCGCAGCTACATTTTCATTATTTTTTCGCGAAAGCTTCAGAAAAGTGGATTAGTACCGGATCCGGTTGTTTTGTTCCCCCCCGCTTTCCCTTGCAAAAAACACTATAAAATGAAATTTCTTGTTCAAATGTAATCCAATTTCAAGAATCCCTTGCAAAAAATAAGCTAAAGTGGACATTCGCGCGTGCAAGACGAAATCCTTCCAAAACCTTAAGCGATTTCAACATAAAAACATTAAAAACCCAATGGTTTTTTAAATAAAAAATTGTCAAAATCTCATTCGGCGGATTCGGGCTTTTGTCAAACGGGCTTTTGCGAGCAACTTTTTCAAACTTCTGCGACAACGGTTGCGCACCTGCCAGGGCCATCATCCCTGTCAAATAATACCATGCGGGACACATTCGTTTTTTCTTCGCGCGCGCACGCCGAAATCTACAAAAACCATTGGGTTTTTAAGAATTTTACCACCGCGCATCATAAAATCACACGAATCGCACCGTAGGTCCTCGAAAAACAGCTGCACGACTTTTCAAAATTTCCACCCGCGCGCGCTGTCCGAATCCTCAAAAAAACCAATGGTTTTCCAACATTTATGTTACATGAGCTCGCGCGAGCTACTTTCGCACGCTCTTGCAACGGGGTTCGCGAATCCCTTGCGGTTGCGCCATAGGTTGCGCCCTCGGCCGCCGAGAATAAAACGCCCTCCTATTGGTTGCGCCATAGGTTGCGCCCTCGGCCGCCGAGAATAAAACGCTCCCTACTGGTTGCGCCATACGTTGCCCCAGGAGGCCTTCAAGAGGCCTCCTGGGGACGTCGCAGAGGACGAGTCGCCTTAGTATGCTTCGTGTATATTCATAGTGTGACTGGACCTGTTTGCGAAAGCAGGAGAAAGTATGAGCATTGCATGCGTCATCCTTGGGACTGTATAACAGCAGAAACAGACAACATTGCATCGCAGACGGACAGCCATCGGGACAACCATCGGGACAACCATCGGGACAACCATTTGGACCAGCATCGGGAAAACGATCGGGACAACCATAACCATCAGGACAACCATCGGGGCAACCATCGAGACAACCATCGGGACAACGATACCTTCTCTCTTGTGTCCTCCCACATCCCTCAGGAAGTTGCCCTAAAGATGTGACCGACTCCTCTCTCTCCTTCTCTATGTCTCTCGCTCTTTCTCTGCTTCATATCTATCATATGAACACATCTATCTCGCTTTCTGCTTCATCGCCTTCCCAGGAAATTGCCCCAAAAATGTGACCAACTATCTTGGCAGTGCGTACCATCTCACGTGTACCGTGTACCACATCTTCTCAGGTTGCCTCACACATGTGACGAATCTCTTTCTATCTCTCTCTCCTCTGGCTCTCTGTCTTGCTCTCTCTCTCTCTCTCTCTGTCTCTCTGTCTTGCTCTCTCTCTCTCTCTGTCTTGCTCTCTCTATGTCATGCGCAACGAATGCACGATGCGGGGCACATGCGGGGCCCAAACAAGTGATCAACCTCTGCGGGTGTGTACTCCACGCCAGTGTAGTATCCACGATCGTCCGCGCGCCACGAAGTGAAGTGTCCTGACGTCATAGGGCGGGAAGCTGGGTGTGGGTGGTTCCCGAGAGTCGTGTGGATGTTTGGTAGAGCTTGCATTGCCCCCCCACGAAGTGGGGGTATTGGCTGGCGTCGCATGAAAACCCTGGCACTGGGGAGAACACTGAGCGTTCGGGTAAAATGATTGTTGTTGTTGTTGTTGTTGTTGTTGTTGTTGCGGTTGTTATTGTTGTTGTTGTTGCTGTTGTTGCTTGTTGTCGTCGTCCCACCCCGCGACCCACCCGCGACCCAGCCCGCGACCCACCCGCGACCCACCCGCGACCCACCTCGCGACCCACCCGCCACCCACCCGCGACCCACCCGCGACCCACCCGCGACCCACCCGTGACCCACCCGCGACCCGGCCCGCGGCCCGTCCCGCGACCCATTGTTTTACAAAAATATCTGCGCTTTCGGCGGGCTCGCTTTATAGCTTCAAAAATTATGCGCCTGCGGCGGGCTTCTTCAGAGCCTCGCAGACTGCCAAATACCCGCCACCCCCTCACTCTTATCCGCAACTGCGGGGTGCTACGGTATATATTGCGCCGTCGTGCACACATACCATTTCTGCAGCAGTTCTGGTGCACGCAGGCATTGTGTTGTAAAGGCCCGCGTTGCGTGCATGGGCATTGCGGGCTTGAACGACGACGACGACGACGACGTAGGCGGTGCGCCTCCATGGGTGCGCGCCGCGGCCCCCGTTACCGTTACCCCCTCCTTCCAGGGTAACATGTGTTATCCCCTAGTAATAAACAAATGGTTTCATACCGTCTTTGCGTGGCTCCGCTTGCGGGTGGAGATCGGGGAGCTCTATGAGCTACCACCAGGGCTCATCACGCAGCTCGTCGAACAAGACCTCCAAGCCTTCTTTGCTGTGAAGCGCTGCATCCTCTCGCCTCTCGCTACGACCGAGCGCCGTCGGTGGTCTATCGTGGGTCCTGGAAGGGGAGGGGAGGTGGAGTTGGAATGGCGGAGGACAGGTTGGGGCAGACGATGGCAGATGAGGAGGAGGATGCGGACTCTACGGAGCGGAGGCCAACCACGACAAGAGTCACCTATCAACAACACCACTGCCTGCCCTCCGCAGGGATGAGAGAGAAGCGTTGCCTGGTCGGTGGCGCGCTGCGGTTGT